ATATATATATATATATATATATTTCTGCGTCGTAGCAGTTGGCATGCAACTCGAAAATATAAAATCGATGATATACTTATTTATCTATTTGCAATCCAATTGCCGATGACACACGTCGTTATACCATCGATTTGAGACAAAAATTATTGGCCAGAGTATTATAATGATAAGATTTACTTAAAAATTATATATAATAATGTAAAAAAAAAAAAAAAAAAAAAAATAGAAAAAAATATTCAAAGAAGACGAGATTAGAGAATTTAAAAAAAAAAAAAAATGAAATAAGAAAAAGATTAAGTAGAAGAAGATGATGTGTTGATGAATAATAATGATGATAATGATGATGGAGGAAGAAGTAAATGAAAAATTTTGGATGACACGTGGCTATCGGAAAACTACTTGAAAATAATACATCCTGTCTATGTGGATCGAGATTAGAAAGAAAACGAAAAAAAAAAGTAAGATTATTATACATACATATATATAAGTACGTCGATGTATGTTGCCAATAGGTACTTTGTATCGTGTTCGCGATGTCAAAACGTTGTTTGAGCCATTACAGAGGCTGAAGCTCTCACACTTTCTTCTGGATATATCACAATTTTATTAGTTTAATATCTGTAGGTAATAGAATTTCTTGGAAATAAATATTAAATGCATCTCTCCGGTCACTCGTCTACTTTCGACGATAGATATGCATCTCAACAATGATTTATTTACAAAAGAATAATATTCGAGTACAAGAGCGCGAAAAAATGAGAGAATAGGGAAAAGAATAAAAATAAGAAAGAGAAAGAGAAAGAGAAAGAGAGAGAGAGAGAAAGATAGAGAGAATGAATGTAAATAAAGGTAAAAAAAAAATTTCCCTGTCCTTAGACAAAATGAACGAAATGAATGAATGAATGAAAAAGTTTTTTGATGATTTGTTTTCTCTTTTTCTCCTCTCCTTTCTTTCCCTCTCTCTTTGTCTCTCTCTCTCTCTCCTCGCTAATCTTCTTTTAAAATGCGTGGACACTGAAATAAGACAATTAATTTAATACAAATTTCATTTGTGATTTTTAATTTGATTATTAATTTACTCGGCGAAGTAGATGCGTGACGAGATTTATAAGACTAAAAGAAAAATCAGTTCAAACAGGTCCAACTACGCAGTAATGATTTTCACGGATCACTGCCAAAGTATATACATTGAAAAACAAACAGACAAAAATATATATAGATATTATACATATATACAGAATTTACCAGAATAAAAAAAATTAAAAAAAAAAAAATAAAATAAACTACACACGTACACATACACATACACAAGCGGATTAAACATCCACATACACACATATGCCATTTAAAATCTTAAAAGAAAAAAGAAAAAAAAAAAAAGAATAAACTGTGACTTCTGCTATCCCTACGACGATGATTTTTGCTAGATCACCGAAATTATACTTTAATCCGATTAGTAAATAAATTTTAGGATTAATGTTTAATAAAAAGAAAAAAAATGTAATTGTAACTATTTAAAACATCGAACGATATTGATAAAACAAACACAATTGATATATTGCAAAAGAAAATGAAAAAGATTTAAGCCACTTAACGTGGTTAATATTAATCTGGGACAGTGGAAATGTTCATGGTTGTTAAAACAAAAAAAAGAAAAAAAAAATTTGTTCTCACCGTACAATGTTCGACAACTATTGTTCTCAGCTTGTTGTTGTAGCAACTGAAATCATTAAGTACGAATTTACGCTTATGGATTAACGTAAAGAAAAGGAATATTTGCGTACGAATACGTTTAATGTGTACATTCGTTGTGGTTCATTCATAGTTCTAGCGACAACTTACTATTATAATACTTATTCTCGTAATTGATTTTTATCTATGGATTATGTATTATTATATATATATTATTATTATTATTAATATTATTATTATAATTATTAATTATTCGTAATGCTAATTACTTAAATTCTCTCAATGATCATGCTACGAGGAAAAGGACTGTATAGATTGTATACTTTTTGTATACTTTGTACTTTTGATATTAACAAATTCGCGTCAATTCATTTTTAATATCGCTCTTTTTCTCTCTCTCTCTTACTCTCTCACTTTCGCTTTTTTTCTTCTCTCTCTCTCTCTCTCTCTCTCACTCTTTCTCTTTCTCTCTCTCTTTCTCTCTCTTTCTTTCAATCTACCTATCTATCTATCTATGTTTTCTATCGCAGAAAAAGAAATTAAAAAAAAAAAATTAAGATATACTCGATGCTCGCAGTTCTAAACATGAATTAATATGAAAAAAAATTTGTGAAACATCATATTAAACAGATTATTACTATAATGATAATAACTATAAGAAGCATGATCGTTGGCCATACAATGGAATATATATAGATATATTATATATATATTTATGTTAATATATAAGACTCTAGCTAATATAAAAGGAAAAAAAAATTAAAAATAAAAAAAAAAAAATATTACAAGAAAATAAAGAAGACGATTGACGACGATGACGATGACGATCGACGATGATTACGATCAATACCTGAAACTGGTTTTCTTCTCTCTACAACAAATTTTTTAAAAGATCCGGAAACGAAATAATGTTTTGTCAAATGGTGTCATTTATATTTATTTCTAAATTTATAAAATATAATATTCAAAGAGAATAAATCCAGTATGTGAGTACATTAAAAAAAGAAATGTCAGGGATCGAGCAAAGATCGAAAATATTTCATTAATTTTGCTATTTTTTGTTATTATCTTCTCCTTTTAATGCAAATTTAAGATAAAAAGAAAAATACAAAACGCTCGATCACACTCCGAGTGAAAAGAGGGCCCAAAAAATATTTAAAACGGCATTTAATTAAATGAAGACGCATTTAAAAAAAAAAAAAAAAAGAAGAAGACTTTCAGAGATCGTTAACTTAATTCTTTAAAAGTAATAATAATAATAATAATAATAATTGCAAAACGAAACGAAATTAAATTAAATAAAAGAAGAATTTATAAAAAGTTACAAAAAGGGGAAAAAAGGATAAATACAATAAACAAGTTTTAATGTTATATCGTGGTCGATTAAACGATACGAGGACAGCACACATAGACAGACATGCATACACATAAATACCTATACCCATGAACTAAAAAAAAGACCATCTCTAATGACGGAAATATTTAGATTGTAAGAACACACATTTTGTATCTGTACTTGTAGATACAATGCAAGAGTAGGCAAGAGTAAAACAAAAATCTAACTAAGAATTCAAATGATATTAATATATAGAGATCTGTATGTATAATTTAATCGTAAGTTCATTCTCATCGCTATATTATAACTTAAATATATATATATATATGTATACATGTATATATATACATATATATATATATATGATTATATGATTTTTGAAATAAAACATTTGTTTTAAATACATGTCCATGATAATATACGTTAAGAAACACGTGGTCTTTCCTGATTTCGAAGTTCCGTCGATTTTTAATAATAGCTTTTATTTTTACCATGTATAAACATGTTGACATGTTTATGTATAAAGAAAGAAATGATTAATTAATGAATTACCAATGATTGATTGATTGAGATTTATTTTAGTATTACAAAAAAAAAATATTGAGAATAAATAGAAATATTTTTCGATTATTTACAGGTAGTTCAACGACAAGGAACCTTGGCGAATCGTGAGTATTTAGCTATTTTAATACATAACAAATTTTGAAGGGTAGCATTCACTTTTTGCACTATAAAAAGATTTTGTGCACTATTCTCCTTATACTTCCCCCTTTTGGATAAATTTGTTTATTTCTGCTATGGGTCGTAACTAATGCACACGTGCGCCTATCTTTCGCTACATTAAAATTTGCCTGTTTTATTGAAAGAAAAAAAAAAATAAAGGAAATATAAAGGGATGCTTCAAATGGAAGAATGTTCCTCTACTACTACTACTACTATGAGCTTTTCGAAGAAGAAAATATTTATAGATGAAAAAAGAAAACAAACGCAAAATATTTAATGTTCATTAGATTGCAAGCATGATGCACATATTTTCAGAGACTTACTAGCAGATCCAGGAGCGGCTGTTACTCTTCTTCATATTGGAAATTCGGAAACTACAAACAATGCCAATAAAAGGCAAAGGCAAGAAGTAGTAATTATATTTTTGACAGATTTTTATTTATTTGTTCATTTTTTTTTCCGTTAATTCATTCACATCTGTCCTTGAGAAGCTTCATCGTTATTTTTGTCTCTTCATTCTATCACTCGACATATTTCTAACCCATATTCGATATAAAGGAAATGTAATTTTCATACAGTTACATAAAAGTTTACTTATTTACTCAGACGAGATTTTTATATAATATATTTATTTTTACTGATAAATATAATTTGATTAGAATTAATCTAAGCAAAGTTGGAATAATTCTAAGATTGGACTTTGAAGTATTCTATTATGTATATATGTATACTAATCGTTTAAAATATAAAATAGCATTTTATTCTTACAAACTTTAACCTAAACTTTCCTCTTATGGCGGTGTTGGTAATATTTTCTATTAAACATACACACAGTGGTGATGGTAGGTATAGTCGTATATTTTTAATAAATATAATTTAGATCATATAAAACACTGAAAATATGCCACATGAGAAAAATATCACTAATCTCTTATCTTTTAATATAAAGCATATGTGTTTACGTCAAATTATTGAAGTATCACGTGTATCGCTATTGCTTTTCAATAATTTCAATAACAACGTTCACATTTGTTATCTATCTTTGAAATATACATCGTAAATAGATTCTCATGTACCTCGACCAATAAGAATTAAACATGCTGCGTTCTTTTGTGATATGATCTTTTGAGATATCTGCATATATAATAATGTAAAAGTAGCTATGTATATGTTAGCAATAGTAAGTAAACTTTTTGTCTTTAGTAGCGACACGGAAAGTGCAGGCAGATATTCAAGGACAGAAGTAGATACTGCTTCTTCAGGAAGAGGACGTAAACCAAAACTTAGTATTATTCAACTATTCCGACGTAACAAGGATAAAGTATCTGGTGCTGATACCGATACTATGAGAACTGTCGTTACAGTTGACGATGAAAAGGTAATTAATTAATCGAATTAAGATATTTTTTAAAAAAGAAATACACAAATTTTATAATTTACGTATACTTATAATTTCTTTATATAAAAAAAAAAATGAAATTGTATAATAATTTTATATCGAAAATTTAAAAAAAAAAAAAAAAAAAATGTTATAATAAATACAATTGTACGTTATTTTTATAAACTAAAATACACATCTAATATGTCATCGTTATTAAACACAAGAAAAATATTAGTAAGAGATAAACTAAATTTAAATAAAAAAGTTTTATTTTTATAGATTCAAATTTATATATTACTGGTGTGAAATGGCCTTTCAATTTCTTTTTCATTCCCCCTTCTTTATCTCTCTTATTACTGACATGAGATTTAGTTGGAAAATTATTTCTGACGGACCACAATTGCGAAGGCTATTACATAAATTTCCTCACCTTCGTCGAATTGTCTGGGAAAACGTAAATAAGTCTCCAAAGCTTTCCAACTTTTCTGCCTTAAAACTTTCGAGACTCATTAATAACAAGGAATATTTTTCCAGAATTTTACTATCATAATCAGATCCTAGCAATTAATATTTATAAAATCAATGTTTAATATTGCTATGCAGTTAACATATATATATATATATATTATATTTTATAAATCGTAGATATTAAAGAAATAAATCTATCTATTAAAAAAATCTGTATATTAAGAAAAATTTATACTAATGTGTTATAATTTTTATAACGGTGAAAGTTTCAATACTCGTAAGCGGTGCAAAACTGAATACAATCAATTGGAGGATATAAAAAGGATATGTGAAAAAAGGATATAAAAAATAAAAAAAAAACATTGTAAGGTCTTGAAAAATATAACATATAATATTGACTTTTATAAATCAACTCATTGGTCGTAGTACAGCGTTGTCTTGTATCTTAATTAATGTAAATATTATTAAAAATTGTACAAAGTGTGTTCAGATTTGCTTCTCATCACTGTATATAATAAATAATTGCTATAATTGATAATTATTTTGAATTGTGTGAAACATTTTAGCTTCAACCATGTGAACAACAACAGCAACAACAATCATCGCCACAAGATAGTAGAATAAATCCATCAAGCGTAGAAGGTGGAATAGTTTACGCGGAATTGGATTTAACTCAACAGCAACAAGGCGGAACTCCACGGCGTTTGAACGAAGATAAAACTGAATACGCAGAAATCTTGTATACAAAACCAGAAACAACCGACGAGGAAACCCCAGATAAATAATTTCACGTACAAATTAATAACGTTCAAATCTCAACTTGTTATAAATGAAAAGGAAAATCAATTTCTTCGTATTAATGTTGCTTAATATGATTATGCGGCATTTCGTGTACTTATCGACAAATTATCTTTAAGAGAGTAGTAGTTTAATGTTATTCTATATTAAGATAGTATACGGAGGTCAACAAAATGTTTTTACTCATTTTTTATTATCTTTATTAATCACTATCGGTTGTTAGCTTTTTTTCATAGGATTCTCATTAGATTGTAGCTAATTTCAGTTTATATGCATATACATATTTCCTTTGTCACTTTTATTGTTTTTCATGTGAAAGGTGACATACGTCCGATAAGGGTAATTTTTTTTTCTCTTTTTTTTTGTTTTCTCTTCTTTTTTTTCTTTTCAATTAATTTCTAGTCATACTTAATAATGTTTCGAGTATGCATTCGTGAAATATCACGAATAAGAAGTAAAAAAATGAAGATAAAACTGCTGAAAAATGAGACAATTGTTTTAAGACCATAATAGTATGTACAGTAAAACCTCCTATAACGCGCTATTTTCTTATCGCGGTATCCATATAACGCGGTACGAATTATATAATCGCGTTATAGGAGGTTTTACTATATATACTATCTAAATATTAATCTCTATGTATCGTATTCAAGCACGTACATATGTACTTAACTGAGTGCAAGATGCTTCTTCTTTTTATTTTTCTAAACATACTTTTTTAACTTATCATTATTATTCGATAAAAAAAAGGAAAAACATTTCGACTAATCGTTCATATATTCTTAACAAAAAAGTATCATGCTACTCTTTTTGTATATGTCAATGATTTTATTTTTTAAACTTTAATAATAATTCCATTAGTTATATACGTAATCATTTTTTAATAATTATTTGTACAAATGTATCGAAAACGTCCATATGTGAAAGTAATAATTTGTACACACGTTAAGAAAATAATCAATAAATTTTATCTATTTATTGTGAAATCATAATAATTGATTAGTAATCTCTTATATATTATATATATTAATTTCCAATTTCAATGAAACAGTAATTAGTCTAATGATCCACACTCGAATTATTAGTTTTATTAATTTAAACGAAACGTATGTGTATAAATTAAAACATTCATAATAATTAAGTTTTATAAGTTTGTCTAATGAATTCCAATTAACGTACAACATTGAATAAAATTAGTTCGTTTTGTATACCTGCCTTTAATAAATAAATATGAAATTATTAAAGAAACATATTATTATTTTTTAAATCTGTGTGTGTGAAAAAAATAAGAAAATTTAATCTATATAATATAAGTTTTCTAATTCCCCATATATAAATACCAATAATTTTAAAGGAGATTTAAAAGTGAAATTTGTTTTAATTGTTTTTCATATATTATTCATCATCTGTCATAGTTTCGTCCATTATAGTAGCATCAGTTTCTTCTTCACCTTCATAATAAATCGTCCCTTCATCCATTGCATCTTCGAAATCATTCTCTTTCAAAAAATCGTCCTCAACGATATCTTCCTTTTCATCACGAGGTACACGATGTTGATAAGTTTTATAAATTTCATCGGTCATATCGGTTGTCAATCTATTAAATTCAATACGACTATCATCCAAAATAAAACTACGTGGCTTGGAACAATCCAATGGTCTACTAATCATCGAAGTGCCAGCACTAGAATTCGGATCGAATTTTCGTATGATCGTAGATCTGCTCAAATGACTCATAAAATCAATTTCATTAGGATAATCATCGCAAACTTTAAGTCTATCAGAGATCGACATTTTCGGAGGATAACGTGCTTTGAAAGTAGCAACCAACTTATTTTCGCATTCATCAGAAACGTGTTCTAAAGATTTAGGATCGAATAGTGGATATGATTTCTTTATACGTTTGGATTGGCCTAAATTAAGATGCCACGTAGTACTAACAAGCATACTATTCAAATTCTCCTTTTTTAATTGAGGAGCTAGAGAGGGTAATTGAGGATTTTCCAATTCATGAGCTTTTTCCATGGCAAGACCTAAATTCTTACGATACCATAAATAAGAATCAACATCAGTTACAGTTTGACCTCCTGGAATTGATACATCACATCCTTCTACTTTTCCTGGAGTAGTTTGTACAGATTCGAAAAGTATTTTCCTTCTTGCGGCATGTCCTTTGCTACCGTTCAACTTAAAGTTCTCTTGTTCGAAAGTAAATATCATAGGTGTTATAAAAAATTCTAATCTTTGATTAGAGTTCAAAATTTTCGTAACGGCATAGACAAAAGAGTTTAAATTTTTACAACGTAAAACATAAATAGCACCACGATCTTTATTAAATAATGGTGGACCAATCCAACAAGGATCACCTACGTAATATCCATCTTTAGAGAGCAAAGCACTTAATGTGATTTTGTTACACTCGATTAAAATATTTGGTGCATCGTCGAATGCACTTTTCAAAGCATTGGCTAGAGTTAATCTGTTACGACCACCATAAAGAATACCGCAAATAGGTTTTGAAAAATTGATCTTCCATACGTGGGGAAATATTTTGAAACAATGCTGTAAATTGAATCTATTTAAATGTTTCGAACATTTTTTTATTGAACTCTTTAAACTTTCGGTATAATAAGAGTCCCCGCATATAACTGCTGAATCTAATACAGCAGGATTCCATCTCGATGGATGACTTAAATATTGCATAGCTAATACAGCTACGCAAATAGCTGCTTGATTTTTACCAGCACGATTACCAAACCTAGAATCATAGCAACCGATCGTACCCCAAATCGAATATATTAAATCTGTTACTTCTATAGCATAATTGTTCCAATATAATTTCATTTGTTTCTCTTTTTCTTCCTCGTTATTGTTACGTTTCTTCTTTTGTCTCTTTTTCAAAGATTTCTTATCAATTTTAATTATTTCTGGTGCATGATCAAAAGTCCAATGATAATCTAAATAAATCCACATTGGATCTTCTTGAAATTCGATTGATGGGGACACGTTAACTGAATCAACGTGAAGTCGATGAATAAAAAATCCTGTTGACTCTTCTATTTGATTGAAACACATGTTTTTGACCATTTGACAAATACTTGAAAAGATACACAAACAAGCCACGCCATTGGTCGATTCTTTTCTTCCTTTATCGTTGCATTGATAAGGATCTAAGTAATAATAGGAATTTGTTGATCTTGAATACCAAAATCCATAGCAACAATTAGTAAATTGTATGATACCACTACTATATTTCACAAAGTGTTTCTTTAAATATTTCCTTACCTAGAAAATAATATATACTGTATAATTAAAAATAATCTAAGTATCTTATTAAAACTTAATCGTATTAGCTTACTTGAACATAAAAATCATTTCGATCGGTACGAGGATCAATAGTAAATGGTACCAAACAAGATGCACAATCTCGAAGATCAAAAATTCTATTCATCAATGTAATGTTCCTCAAAATGTGTTCGGTATGAAATTTTGGTTCGTGATATTCCCTGTAAAGATTTTCAGCAACTTCAATTATTTTATCTATCATTCCTGGAAGAGGACTCTGAATGATATCCCTTTTAAACATAACAGCTAAAATTGCTACGAAATAGCAACGTTTTACTCTAGGCTCTTTAATAGTTTCTCGATCACTTAGAGCAACGGTTCCTATTATGAAAATTGGTTTGGTTTCTGGAACAGTAGGTTTGAATATTGCTTCTAAGTCATATGGCTCTGCTTCCATTTTATGTATTTCAGCTAAAGATGTCGTAGGTATAATAAATTCGTGTAATCCTTTAACATCGCTGCAATCAGGATCTAGCTTTTTTGCATAGGAAATTGTTACGACTCTCATAACAAATTGGATCTCTTTAGCTTGATTGATCTCCTTTACGATAATCCTCAAAAATTCCTTTATATTCGTTGAAGTGATTATTCGTAATATTTTAGTTTTTTTGATTACCCACCAAGCAAAATAATTATCATTAGTCTTGGTAACACCTATGTGACTATCTTCACAAACAATAATTGCACCGGTATAAGCAGGACTATCAAAGACGTATTTTAAAGACATTGCTAAATTCCATCCCTCGATGGCATAAAGAGTTCCATAATGCAATGGTACAAATACAGGATGAAATACATAATTAGCAATCTCAAATTCAGGTAAAAGACCATCAGACATGTTACTAACAGTCGAATCTTCTGTTGCCAATATACTATCAAACGTATAGTCGCAACTAGCTTCGAACAAGCCTCTGATAATTCGTACAGACCATAGTACAGGATCATGGATCAATGACCAAGCCATTATGCAAAGATCTATAGGTGTAATAACTGAAACGTGTTCTTTAAATTTTCTATCGTATGGTTTTTTTCTTATCATTAATTTAACCAATTCGTATGAATCAATATTCTCATTTACATATCTTTCAATATTTGTTTTAAACGGTGCTAATAATGGCCTGGTTATTTCATCTTCTAATACGATTACGTCTAACATCGAAGCATCGTAGTATCGAATAGGGGAGAATCCTGGTATAGTCATGTCATGTACAACATCCAATTTACGTTCTGCTGTGATCCATTCTGTCGATTCGATTAATGACGTTTCTGAATCACTTTTTCTTATTTCTTCTAAATCAGTTGACTCCTCTTGAGGTACTTCTTCTTTAACTTTTTCGATACAATATTGAGTTTTCTTTTTCTTCCTCCTTTTTCGACGTTTCGTTTCCATATGTGAGATAAACATGGTATATAATCGATAAGGTTGATCTATAGATCCTCCTACATTTTCTTCGATCCTATCTAACATCGACGATAAATCACAAAATTCCATCAAACAAGCATATCCTTCTTCATTGGATTTACCATTCTCGTCACAAGCATAAGGATCGAAAAGATAATATCGATCATTATCTTTCCAAAAACCGTAAGAAATATTTGATGTAACTAATATACCAGATTCATTATTTTCCATAAAACTTTCCATAGCATTTTGAAATTTATCAGCTTCACAGTTTTCAGGATCGGCATATACAGCTTGTTTCATAATTACAGTATACTTTGTGTCGAGGATTTCAAAATTATGGAACCATCTGAGAGGTTTATATCGAAGTTTACCTACGCGTTGATAAATTTTGTTAGCCATGTAAATAAATTCATCTAAATTTATTCCACGAAACTGATCAATGTTCAATCGAATTTTTCCTAATAAACACAATATAGCAGCAAAATAACAAGCCTTGAAGTGACAAGATTCGATCTCGGCACGATTTTCAAGACGCATGTTCGACCGAAGTATAGCAACATTATCGTTGACCACCTTTAAATAATATAGAAATAAAATTTTTAGTATAAAAAAAAACAAAAAGAACGGTAAAAATTAGTTATCACCTTAAATCCTTCATCTTCCTTTTCAAAAAGTACTTTTTCTTTTTGATCTTTCGTTTTTTTAACAGCTTTGATTTCTATTTTGTCTTCAATATCTATTTGTGGTTTTTGTATTTCATCTTCCTACATATAAAAACATTATTTTGAAATATATTCAAATCTTTCTATATAGAAAATGATTAATTATTAACCCATAAAAAATAACTAACTTGATCAAACGCTTTAAAATTCGGAAACATCATTTCAAGGAGTACATTTTCAGTATCACAAATTATTTTCTTCATGATAGGTTCTTCTTTTTCCATTTTCGACAATAAACACTTACGTTTTTTCTTTTCGATACAAAAAATGGATTTTTTAACATAAGTCGGTGTTTTAATAGTAGGACCAAGTGGTAATAATTCAGGCATTATACGAATTCCTATTGGTATTTCAGGAATTTGTTCTAAATCGAAACCATCACCTTGATCTTTGTATATTAAAGAATCATCTTTTTCTAAATCGACATTTTGAATATATCTGTCATTGATAGCTCTAAGTGGCATCAAATAAATTGGTAAAACACGCGAATAAAGATAACTGCTGTCGTTAAGTTTGATCATTTTAGCTGGCTTAACTTCTTTTTCCGAAACAGATAAAATAAGAGATTTATTTTGTACATATATCCCAGAAATACCTATTTTCTTCTTAACTTCTAATCTAGAATCGATTGAAAACCTAGATACCAAAGAGTGAACGGATCTTTTAGCACGTTTTGCTTCGAGAAGGATACCAAGTGTTGCTTTTGATGGCATCACGTAAGGAGGTGGATGAGTGTATTTTAATTTTTCTAAAATTCTTTCTGGATGTACGATCTTTTGAATAAGTTCAACGTCAGTTTGTACTTTAACACTGCCAGTTAACAAAGTTAAATTCAAACGATAAGGAGCATCAGGTTGATCCTTTTCTTCAATTATCAATAATGGACAAATGATAGGTTTCTTTTCAGCTTTTTCCAGAGCCCTTAAATGAGCTTCGACTTTGCCTTCCTCTTCATCTTCATATTCTTCCTCTTCTTCTTCTTCTTCTTCTTCTTCCTCACCTTCTTCCTCTCCTCTTTCCTCATCATCCGGTGACATAATATCTCTCTCAAATGGAATTTCGGTTAATGCTGGTTTATCATCTTTCTCTAATTGTAATAGATCTTCATCGGTAATCGGTAAAAATTTGGTTTGGAACTTTTTGACCATAGTATCACCTGGAATTTCAATTGATTCGGAGACCGCATATTTACCAGGTTGGATCGAATCCAATACGACAAAATGAATAATAAAATCATTGTCGTTATATTCTAATACACCATAAAGAACATCGGTAAGTTCGTTAAGTGTGTCAACAACTACGAATGATACAGGATAATTTAAAAGTCTCCAGCCTTCTTCATCACTTCCATAAGGATTAAATAAAAAGTATTTATCATTATCTTTCCATATGCCGTACATTAATTTATTATTTTCTAAAACCAATTCCGTGTAATCAGTGAAATAACATTCTAATGCTTCGGCTAAATTCGCCAAAGGATGAGCTTCGCCGATTAACAAATTCATTCTTGATTTAAAAATCACGTCGTTTTCGGCGAATTTTAATTTAACCGGTAGCATTGATAAATCTAGATGACTTGGCGCTGGTAACATTTTTAAAATTCTTTCAGCTTCGTCTTCTTCTTCTTCCTCCTCTTCAACAATCTCGGTATCCGTATCTTTCTCTTCTTCATCTTCTAATTCTTCTCCTTTTATCTCTTCTTTCTCCCCTTTTAATCTAGGCTTACCTTCCTTTATCCAATCAATAACATCCTCGTAAGTTTTGTTACCTATATCTATTATCTGATCAAGATCAATGTTTCTCCATGATGATGGATTCTTTAATTTTCTGTATGCCAAAGCCACCAATGCAATGATCAAACCTTGTCTACCTCTATAACGAGCTTTATAATCAGGATGCAAGCAATTTTTTGTACCCTGTACTATCAACCGATGAGGATTGATCACGTTGTAACCAGTGATTTGTTTTATTTTAGAATCTAAGATCGATTCATCTTCATCATCTTTTTGAATACCCATTCGTTTTTCTTCTTCTTCATTTTTTGGAACATCAATTCGTCTTTCCTCATCTTCATTTTCTTCTTTTTCTTCTTTTTCTACTTCTTCCTCTTCGATAGTTGTCTTAGTTTCTTTTGATTCAGGAATCGTAGCTATTACAAAAGTTCTTGGCTCGTCATCCGTAAACATATACTCATTTATATTACTCATTAAATCTGGAAACTGTGTTTCGGCATCTTGACATTCGTCTAATTCTAATCGTATTTTAGGTGTCATGTCTAACTTCTTTTCTTCAATTTCTTTAGAATGTTGAATCAATGACGCAGAAGGTCTACGATTAGTACCTTTTTCACGATATATCACTTTTTCAAATGGACCATCGCGCACCATTCCAGTTTTCACGTAAAGTACTTTTATACCATGAATCAAAAATGGATCTCTGTCTTTGCTAAGAGTATTTTCTAAAATAGTTTCGACCAATTGATTAATAGAACTGTTCATAGTAACGCATGCGGCATCTCTAGCACCATAAACCTTCTGTCGTTCTTCGTTATAATTTATTCGAAATCCTTCCTCGTCGCAAGCAAATGGATCCATGAAATAATATGTGTCATTTTCCTTCCAGATGGCATAAAAGAATTTTTTAATATCTAATATACCTGCAGTTTGAGTTTCGAAGAATTCACGTATTCCACTATCTATTGCAAGTTTACCTTTTTTTTTACCAGAACCAGGAATTACATTTGGACGTAATTTTATTTTCGCCGAGTAAACACCTAAAATTAGATCACCCATGACATCGTCCAAACGTAATTCGAATTCTTCGTCTTCTAGATTTTTTTCTAATACTCTAACGAGATCGATTAGATATATATTAGATTGATTAAAGATCAAATCGATCAAAGCGGTAGTCCACTTGTTGCCACTGACCAAACAAGAATAAACTATAGCGGCAAGTGCTATTATAAGATGGCCACGGCCACGAAGTAATTCAGGTATGGCAGGATGCATCAAATGATAAGATCCTTGTACGACAGCTCGAAATTTTTCTTGAATTTTATATCCACTTGGTCGTCTTTGCGGTTTGCCTAATGATTTTTCAGGTTCGTCTGGATCATCGGCTAAAGAAAATGCTTCAACGCCGCTGATCAATATTGGATAAAGTACAAATGGTTCGTTTTTAACGTTACTCTTTTCAAGAATTATAAAATAAACACCTATCAAATCTTTGACTAAAAATAATTTAGCCGAACCATCTTCCCCATCTTTAACTGGCTCGCAAGTCTCTTTCCTAGCTTGACCATCAAATATATTAAAATATCTTGGTTCTTTCCAAATAGCCAAGTTCAGTACTGACGAGGTCAAAATTCCAGAATTGTGTCTTTTAAAAAACAGTTCCAAAGCTTTGACTAAATGCAATTCGGTTGGATCTTGCGAACGAAACTTGCCTGCGTAAGATGGATCCTTGATCGTTACGTTAACGTTTAATTTATTTTGAACAAATACGTCTCTTTTTAAATCCAAAATCGATAAACGTCGACGATCATCAGTTTTTATATCTGCATAAGATTCACAATAAAACGTATCACCATCTTCGATAATTTGATCTATTACAGATTCGTTCCAACATCTTGATTTGTATACTGCTGTTGTTGCAAACGCAGTGACTGCTATAGCTCCACCCTAATTTTAAAATCGTCAATTTTTGTAATTTCAATGCAAATGAGCTATCAAATAATTCACGATGCATTTTAAAGCCAATACCTGATGACCTCGAGAAAGTGGTGAAAATTTGAGCATGTTCAAATGAGTAAGGCCAGAACGTATCCCATACTTTACGCAAGCTGGTAATTCCGGTTTTATTGTAGTAAGCGAATAAGTGTCGTCAGGTAAGTCGAGAATATCGTTTAGATTTTGGTATTCCTCTTCGAGATCCTCATCTAATTCATCGCTACTCGATGCATTGCCATCAGCAGCAACAACATCCTCTGTTACTCGACCAATTGCATTTATTGTTTCAACTGACACTATCTCGTCGCATTCGCCAAGTTTTTTAAGTTTCTTTCGTAATTCTTGTCTTTTTTCTCTTTCTATTTCGGTTACTGATTTTTCCTTCTTTAAAGCTTGATCCATTTTCTTTTATTCTTATAAAAATTTATTAGATTTACTTACATAACCTTTGTTATAGGTTGTGCTATTAGATCGAATTCATTAATTTATAGTAAACTCGTTGCTTGATTTTTTTAATAATTTACATTTTCTTCGAAATTATATACACATTTTTCGATTGATTTTATATAACATATTTATATTCTTATATATATATACTTGAAATTTTAACATTTGACATTACAAAGAATATTATAATATCGAAATGAATCTTGACATATTCAACATACTCAACATATTTTTTGATAGATTGATCGTTTTGTTTATTTCGAAATGTCGTTCATCATGTTTCAAAACTAAACATGTTTTCATTGAAACTTGACAAATCAAAATTCTAACATGCAATTTTACAAAATTCTAAAGTAATGTAATATTTTAATTATCCAAAAATGCTAACATTTAATAATAAAACATTAATTAATCGATTCAAAATCATGGCAAGATTAGATAAAAATTTATTAAAATACAGCAAACAATAATTACGAAGGTAATATATTGAATTAGTATATTTAATTTAATATACTCTAACTAATTCGAATGTCTTATAACAAAACGAATAAATTAATTAACAAATCCAAAAGAATCATGATAAGCATGAAGAATTGTGAAAGATATAAACGATGGAAAAAAGAGCAAGAACTTTTAAATGATCCGAAAAAGCAGGAAATAAAAAAGCGTAAACAAGAAATAACAGATTGTATCGAGGAAGAAAAGAAAACTGTGCCCAAAACTATTACCAAAATTCGTTACCATAAATGTAAGAAAGAAAAGAAAACTAAAGGAGTGATTTTCAAACCAAAGCTCGTTTCTTCTATCGATTTGTTATTAAAAAGAATTCAACCCTCATTAGAAGTTAGATATAAATTGGTAGATCATCGACACATTAATTGCTTTATCGAAAACGTAATTGCTCTGAAAGAAACTGTGATGCGTCAAGAAAGTAAGATTCATAATAATTATTTCTATATAAATGAACATCAATGTCATGATAAGTTAATGAAAAGAAATTGAATCTTACCATTACTTATCAATCCATTAATATCACCTATTGGTACATCATGATGATAAGGCTTAAATGTTAAAAACTATCAAAAGCAAAGGTTAATTAATTACTGATTGACATCGATCATTAATTTCTTTATATATATTACTGTACGTTTACTCATTAATTATAAATTATTATTAACTATTTTTTGTTGACGTTCTAAGATTAATTTATGTTTACATTATCATTAAACTCGCTTTTAAATAGTACTTATTGCAGAAAAGAGAATTGCGAAAAAGGATTTCGAAAAAAAGAAGGTAAAACGAAAGAAGAAAATTTCGAAAAAAGAGAACATGGTGAATCTTGAAATAGAAAATGATGAAAATGCAGCAACAGCTGATCTAGAGAAAGAAGATGCAATTGCCGAGGAAATTACTGAAAATGGAGAAAAGGACGATGAGAAGAATAAAGTTCAACGAAATAAGACTATAAAAAAAGACAAATTTTGGTGCAAAAAAGTAGAGAAAAAAATTGAATCTGAATCTAAATCTGAATCGGATGTTAGCGAATGCGAAAGTATTTGTTCATTCGACAGTGAAATCTGTCTTAAAAGTAAAATATAATACATAGGTATTTTTGTTTCTGATATATTTCCTCGAAATAAATAGAAATAAATGAATCTGTTCAAACGCTATCGTAGAAATTCAAAATTTTATTTGAATTTATTTTCTTTTCATTGCCAATTAAACTTCACTTTTGTACCGAGATTTCTTATCTCTTTGACATGACCTAGACCTCCCTTATGCAATTTTATTTAACCTTAACTCTCGTCGATAATGTTCCAAATAAAAAACTTTATTTTAATTATTTTAATCAATCGAAATTATTTTCATATATTCCTTTTTCTTTCCAAACTATTTTCAGTAAAAATACAGACAATTGGTATGTTTATATATCAGAGATGAATAAATATGTAAAACAACTCCATTTAATTAAAATGATAATATTATATTATTTTGTGTTTTAGGATTAGCATTAACTTTAGAAGATAAAAAGAAGATCGAACAGAATCGTAGACATGTAGAAACCTCATCCAACACGCATAATCAATAGAATTCTATAAAAACAAAAAAAATCACAATATAAAATGAAATCTATGAAAAATAAAAATTAAACGTAAAAAATGCAAAAAATTTGATAAACATTGAAATATGGAATAAAAAAAAATGGTAAAGGCAGTAAATAAATATAGATAATAAACCTACGTACATATATACATAAATTATTATATATATTTATTACCTTTATCGAATATCGTTCATTTACCATGGAACAAAGAAAGTATTTTCTAAATTTAGATTTAAATAGATAAAAGATGAATGGAATAATATATCTCTCTAATGTATCCAATCAACGTACATTTTCTTATCAAATTCATGAGTTTAGCAACGCGTATTGGTTTTATCTCCTCAACAAACAGAAAAAATGAATTTCTCGTTAAAATTTAATAATTAGTATTCTAATGGAAACTGCGCTATTAAGACAGTGGAAACTTCGTTCAATATATTTACGAAAAAATTCTTCTAAATCTTATAATTTCACAAATCGATATTACTCAAGAATATTTTCATCATGTTTCCCTTTGCAAATCTGCTACCATCCCGTAAGTACTTTATAACATCATTTTTATTAAATTTTATTATATATTAAATTCTTTCAAAAAAAGACTAAGAGAATTATTAAACTCTTATACAATGTTTGAATTTTGTTTATGTGTCATTTAAACATATGTAAAGTAATAATCATAAACAATATTATTTATTCAAAAAACTTCCTTATATCACGTTAAAATAAATAACATTTCCTAGTCTTTGGTGTCACGAATCGAGATTCGGTGCAATTATAAAAATATACAAAAAATAAAAATAATATAAATAAACTGAATGCGACGTTATTTTGCATAAAAAATTATGACATTATCTTGAGATATAATCACACGATCCACTTATAAATGGAGCGTATATTATAGAATGCATATCGCATAATGAATGCTTGTCGCAATCCGCTTATTATAAAATCAAAACAATTTTTTATCTTTATTTCATTAAACTATGCTATACATTTTATTTAGTTTGTAGTACTACGAGACTATTTTTTAATAAAATGATATTGACATCGTAAAAAAAAGGAACAAGAAAAGAATTTAAGTTTGATATATTAAATTTATCTTGCAGGATTCACAAAATTTCTCACTCGAGATCAAATAGAGAGGCTATGGCAAAGAGTCATCAAAGAGATATGTCGTTATCTAAATAGAACGAGAATCATTGCCTATTCGGATTCATCATCGAACATTTCTTCTATCGTTACACCATTGGCTGTTAAATGTAAATATATTTTTAATCTCCATTTAATAGGCTACAATTATTAATTAATTGCATGAACAATTATTATTTTCTGTATGAAAAATTAACAAAAAAATACAAGATATAACAAGTGGTTTGCTGAAAAATGATCTATTAAAACAGTTATCTTTTCAATCTCCTAAATATATATATATTTGGACGTGTCTTCTATGATTTGATGGATTTTTGCAATGACGTGTGTAGAGCAAGTATTTAAAAAGTAAATTCATATTTGCATTGACTAATAATGACTTTTGAAAGTATTTATCATGAGACAATTAAAATTTATCTCATGTTATCCAGTTTTTTAAATTTGCAAATAATATATAGGTATAATGTTGTTTTTCTACATACAAAACTCATAACAATAATTTACACAGTTAAACTAGTGTATTATGAAATATTGTAAATATAAAGTAAAAATCATCCGAAGTTAAAAGAAGCTATAATTACATTCAGATATTTATTTTAAACATTATATTTGATAAGACGTATATTTGTCATTTTAAATTAACGCAATACCCTTTCTTATAAATAAGTATAAAAACAAAGCAGTATAATCACTGTTAATACATAATTTTTGTCAGTGACCTTATACGTTAACTCTAATTTGTTTTTTCTCCTTTTTTACTTTCGTCACAATTGAGAGACGTTTTAATGGCCTATGGACAGTGAATAAATCAAATAATTAATATTAAGAATATCATACTTTTTAAAAACATACATGATCAAGTTTTATTAAAAGTTATTGTATTTGGTATTTTTCACAAAATATATCGTGTGATTAAACAAGAAGTACAATTAATATATGACGAACGAAATATTTACGCGAATTAAAAAAAAAATTTAAAAAGATATTTTATTTTCTAAGTAAAAAAAGAAATATGCAAAATCGAAATATATTTATAGAGAATATAATCTTCCAAGACGATTAACTTTACAAACAAAAATTTAATTTATTACAGTCGATTTTCATTTTCTAATTATTATACATTCATTTTTAAAATAATGCTATATAAATATATATATATATATATGAATAAATATTGTAAATAAAATTGAGTAAATATACGGAAGAGAAATAAGAAGAGAACAACGTAAAAAAAAACCTAACAAATCTTTATTCAGTAGATGTAACTTACAATATTATTTTATTTCTAAATAATCGGTTATGCTTACATAAGAGAAAGTAATTATTGCCTATTCGAAAATTATTAGTCCACATCTATCACCAACGATTTCGATCAAATCGTAGAGATGATCTTATAATGAACGATCTTGAAATGATTATTAAAGAATATGAAACGAGGTGTATAACTGCAAGGTCTGTCTTTTTTCTTGAAAATTCTGTAGAAAAATAAATTCAAGTAAAGTCAAGTAATAATTAAAACTATTTCAGTCCTAGTATTGAAGGTAATGTCGATAAAGTTGCAACATTTCAAGAAAAACTTTAATCGGTAAATAAATGGATCTATTATAACAACGTGCAAACGTAAAAACAGATTATATTAGTTTTACATAGACTTTTAGATAATATCTGTATATCGTTTATAAGTGTACGTTCAGGAAAGTTTCCATAATGAAGGATTTTCTACGCAAAAAATCCATATTAACTATTATGCAATCAAATTTTAAACAAGATCATTTTTTTCTGATTGATACTTTTAGACTGTATACGTCATTTGCTTTTTTCTATAAGAATATATTAAACAATATACACTTTGAGATCCCTATTATATAAATAATTCTGTCAAGTTCAAATTGTTTTTACAAATTTACTATGATTTTATAAGATATTTGCACTTTTGATAAATGGGTAACGTATTTAAAAGATTAAAGAACAATTTTTTTTATTTTTTTGTAATTTTTTATAATAAAAAGTAACTTTTTAAGAAATAAATATAATAAATAGGATATGCTTTAAATATGCATTATAGGAAATATGAATACTTTTATAATAATAAATAGATAAATGATACTAATTAATATATTTCATGATCAAATTAATTTTCATTAAATACATTATTAGCATTACAAAACTATTCTTCGAAAGTATAATTCTTTTTAAACGTTGTTAAGAAAAATTTATTTCTTACTACGTAATATAACTATCATAGAATATTTTTGCATAAATCCATTTATTAACGATCTCTTATGATCTTGATCAATGTTTGTTAATTATCAAAGATTTGTCGAGATTTTAAATTTAAAAATAAAGCCTATTATATCTTACGATCCAAAATTTTCCGATGAATACTTATTCTTGTTTTCAACGAAACTTAAAACAGGTTACGAAGAGAGCAACAAAAAGTTGCAGGTTCGAATCGTTCGAGGCCCCACTTAGCTTTCTTTTTAAAACCATTAGCGTCGAAACCGGAGGATCCCATTTATATTATATTGACTCGGTAACGAAATTTTTTTTTTTGCTAAATATAAAAGAATTAATTCCAAAATAAGTCATCGTGCATGAAGGGCAATACGTGTTTTATAAATTTTCTCATAAGAAAAAATATTTGATAAAAAATTTATAAATGTTTGCATTATACTGCAATTTCTCAATTATCTTGAAAAATGCAAATTTTTTTGGTTTCTAATAGTCTGTATTAATAGATTTTACGTGAATATAAGTATCTCACATATACGATTATTAGTAATGTTAATCAGCTTTTTTGTTTATCTGTAGATATCAACAAGTTTGATCGATAAAAAAAAATACAACGGTATATTCCACAAATGTTCAATGCGTGAATTAAAAATCAATGTTCGTAATTATATGATATCTATCTATTTGAGAACTGTCTGTTTATATTTTTCATGTAGATCACATCTTCATGATCATTTGTTCCTATATGAACTTAAAAATTTTTAAAATAATAAATAATTTATTCTCATCGAAGTTTTATTTCAATTTCAACGAAATAATTAATTTTAATAAATAAATACTCACGATACGTGCTGACAAAGAAAAACGAGAAGAATAGAATTTTAAAAAGACTATTTAAAGTTTAATTAAAATATGAGTATAATGCATTGAAAAATACAATACTTTATATTAAAGAACAGAAAATAATTTATTCTCTAGGCAAATTAAGTGTCATCAATAACGTAGGAATCTTATTCCGGCATACTAACCTTTCTCTAAATGGAAAGATATGATCCTACATTTTAATGAAATAAAATTTATACGCGAATGATTTAATCTCATGACTATTACTTCCACGAAAAAGTATTCCTAAGCTATCTATTATTTATACAATAAATTTAAATTCACATATATTGTCACTTGTATGTTTCGTAAAACAAATGATCACACAAATAATATATTACCTTAATTTATAATGTTAATTATACTTTTATTCTTCCTATAACGAATTCAGGAGTCATTTCTCTTGAATACTATCAAAGAAATTGCACCTTTTTATCATCTTTTTGAAATCAACACAACACATGGTTTTTATCTTGGGTTTCTCCAAACAAGTCACCCCATCCATGCTATTAAACGTGCTCATGTTGCTTGACTATAGAAATCGCCCGGAAACTATAATATAGTACTTTAACATGGCTAAACCGTTAACTTTTATTTCAAAATATAAATTATTTATTACGAAAAAAAAAATTTTGAAGACAACGATATAAAACGAGAACAATCATATTTTTATGTAGCCATTTCTGTCGACCAATTAAACGATCAACGTTTGTCGACTAACGTCATCTGCTTACCTCTTTCTTCTCAATCCTCCTCGTTGCTCCCTGTTAATCCCCCAGCAAACAATTTCGGAATACATAACTAGTACGACTTGGAATTTCCGTTTATAAAAAAAAGCAACAAATAATAATAAAATACGACGAAAATAAAATAAATATATACAAGTATATTTATAAATTTTCAAATCGTCTTATATTTGTTCATACATTCTGTATTTATAATTAAATATATATTATCGTGTTATAATAAATTAAAAAGGCATTTAAAATAGAAACAATTATTAAACAAAGTAGCCACTTGAATGTACTTTAAAAAAACTACAAGTTATATAGAACTTTAACAAACTTTTCCTTTGCTTACAAAGATTAATGAAGCTTTACTTCCTACGTTAATCGTTAGTTCAAAGCATAAAAGCAAAAAAGGAAAGATTAATTGGAAATTTATGGTAAAACATCATAAGGATACAATTACGTACCGACGTAACTAATAAATAATAACATCTCGTATAACATACCACATTTATCTTCTAATTAAATATTACAATTATCTTAATATTACTTTTCTCTCAAAGTAAATTCTTATTTTTCTAATCCTCCTTCTGATTATTTATAGATTATATCGTGTTTAAATATTCACTAAAATACGAATACACTAAATTATAGTATTTCTTCAATGATTTATAAACTTATTAAATAACGTATAGAACGAGGAAGAAATCCTAGATGATTTTCAAAGCTAAATACATTTTTTCAGTCATTTTAAAGACAAATTTTTATTAGATTATAAAACTACATGTGTCCTCTCTAACTTTTATTTTATCTAGGATCTTTATATATTGCCTGTATATATTAGGCAAGAAAAAAAAAGTATGCGAAACTCAAAAATGTTTACATGTTAACAAATTCTATACCATAAACACGTACAAGTATTATAATTTAAAATAACGTATTACCATAAATCATTGTGCCATCCATCTACATTTTTGTTATATGTAGACCAATTAATTTTTACGATAAAAAATATAGTTTTTGAATATTCCGTTTGAGTTTCGATTTATAAGCAAGTATTATTATATTATGAAGAAAAAAGATAATATCCTAATCGATGGAAAAAAACAAACCGTAAACACAACGTTTAATCGAGAAATGATTTGTGATTATTGCATAAGATAATATAAATGACATTAGATTGCTTCGCAAATTACTATTTGGTAAGTTCCACGATGATTTTACCAAAGACAAACAGGTAGTTATAATAATCCTAGGAAAAGACAAAATAAGGAAAATTGTATCAAGACATTTCTCGAGGATTACGAGTTGATCTACCTGAATTCAGAAAAACAAAAGTTCATTTGTAACAATTACATAAACATTCCAAAAGAGAAAGTCTATAATCAGTTACAAGGTTAAAATAATCTTGAAAGAATTAAAAAATAAACTCCAAAAAATAATTTTAAATGTAATGATTTATAAAATATTATTAATCTTGACATGAAAATACCCTTGTAAACAAAACTATGATTTATGAAAAAAGAATTATTACAATAAAATATGGAAATATCTCAACGAAACCAACAATGAAGTAAAATCGTAGAACGTTATGTAAATAGCAAATATGGAAACAAAATAACATAATTTTCGTGAGATTTAACTTAAAATAAATTAAAACTTTCTCTTATATATATATATATAATTTTATAAAGAAATCTATGTCTCGGTTCGATGACCTTGATATTTGACATTAGGTAACCTATGTATAAAATTTGAATTTTTGCGAAATTTATAAAATATTATTAGACAATCAATTTGTCTTATTAATTATTTTATTTATCTCGTATCCAAGGAATCAATCAAACTTGTGTATTATGAATTCATATTTAAGTATTTTAAGTAATATTATATGTTGGAAAAATATCAATAGAGAAAACAAATTAAACGATATTCACATCAACAATAAATGATCGTGAAAAAAACGTCACAATAAGAATAAATAACCTCGAGTTGTATATTCTAGAAGAATCATGATTTATTCAAAAGAGCATGAAAGAGAGAAAGAGAAAAAAACATAAATATATCTCCAGATTATTACGTAATTTATTACCTCCGATTAAATGACAAATCATGCACGCTTAGATAGATTTTCTATTTCAAAGAAAATATTAATAAAAAAAAATTTAAAGATTACAGATCGAAAAAACATTTGTATAAGAAAATATCACTTAATAAAATTATTTTCCGTTCCAAGGATTCGTAAGAAAGATACAATACTACTATGGAATTTACCATGAGATTATTTTGATACAGTTAAAAAGTAAAAATGGAGTGTAAAAAAAAGGGATAAAGGGTTTTCCCCTCTCTTTCGAAGAATCTAATCACTAAAGACAAAAAAACGAAAAGAATATAAAAATACTGGAATTTAAAAAAGGAATAAAACAAAAGAAACAGGATAAAGAGAGAAAGAGAGGGAAGATATATAAATGGAGGGAGAAATCGACACAACCTGATTGGTCACAGTTCCACGTGCTTTGAAAACACAGAGAAAGAAGAGAGAGAGGCAGGTATGAAGTTCCCATACGGGGTGGGGACAGTGGTATATTTTTCAAAGTCGACTGATCCACGTTTCTATCACTTTCGCATGGAATTGCATGGTGTGCACACCAAGCAAGATTACTATACAAATTTTTCTAATAGTAAAAGTGGAAGTTAATCGTAATTTACAGGATCACTCGGACGATCCTGAAAAAGATATTATTTGAAATTATCACTAACTGATTATAATTGAAAAAAAATAGTGAAATATAAGTGTAAACATATATTTGAAAATTATTTTATTTTATTAAAATATATATTATTTCATTGCCAGTGATTTCTATATCAATCGGACAAAAGACAGATCGATATTATTAATCTGGTTGTGTCAATTATTTAAAAGAAAAATTTGTAGTGAAGTGTATACATCATGAAGGATATATTAATAATTTGGAATAGACTGATTGAGCGGAGACGTTCTACAGTGAATAATAATAATTTTACTACTAACGGTACAAATGAACATGATGAGCTAACGATATCGCGAAATACAAGAAACCGGAGAAAGTCTTCGGTTTTAATGAATCAGTTTTTCAATCCAACGACGACCTTACCGATACAACATAATGATAGACAAAAGCGATTACGAAGTAAGTAATAATATTTTTTTATATTTTAACAAAATTGAATAAAAATGATAATGTGTTTACTATATTTGGTTACGTTCACCACTTGCCAGTTATTTATTATTTTTTAAGATAATAAAAAAATTCGTTTTATAAATATAAATATTTCCTAATAATCTCTCTCTCTCTCTCTCTCTATCTTTCATTTATCAAACATCTACTATAGTATTCCTCAATTAGGTAATAAATAGAATAAACATAAATTTTCAAGCATTAAAAACTTAATGTTGGAGATTATAATTTTTCCAATAGTGATCAATAATATCTCGCTTCTCAATTTGTAAAAATGGAACTACGTTTATTCGATGTTACTTTTAAGGCTTTCCTTTAATTTTTCGAATATCTAAAAATAACATAAACGATATAGAGTAACGTACGACGATTCTTGAATATCTTAAACTAAGGAATGTTCTCTAAAACAAGACATGTTCTTTTGTTCGGTATGCGGAAATTGCTTGAAAAATGTATAAAAAGGATAATAGCAAGTTGTCTTACTATTAGCTACATTTTCTTAGCTCACAACTAAATTTCATTATGCATTGTTAGAAATATTGTGAACCCTTAGAACGAAACAATCTCTCATAAATTTATGTAAAACGCATTTAAATGACTTTAAAATTAAATAAATTTAAAATACTTTTTAAATTTATTTAAATAACTTTTGAATTAAATAAATTTGTAATGCGTGTAAACGCATACACATTGACATTATGTCACAATGACCGCATTACAAATTTATTCCAGATAATTAATTCTATGAATAAATAAAAAAAAATAAATAAAAAGTGGAAAAAAGTAATCCAGTTTTTGTGAAAAACGCTTGTGAGTGTAACTTATTATATATCAATAATAGTACACTTATTATGTAGTAAACACTTCGTTAACAATAATATTCTCTCACGATATTATTATAATTATTGATACGCGTTACATATAACTTATAGCAGACATTTGTGATGTTCAAACAGAACTACAAAAAAATATAACCAATCATTATCTTAGATAATATTCTCATTTTTTCCACTTCTTTTTATATTTAACAAAAGAAAAAACGACACATTACGAACATTATAGATTATTCTTCTAGATAAAATATAAAATATACGTCTTAACACATTTTTTTCTCCGACGATCCTTCTGTATCTTCTTGTCGATTCATTCTCATTTCTTTTGTTTATTTCTACAATAAAAACTATGTCGATAAATATGATATTTTATTGTTAATATATTATAACATCTCGATCATCTCAAATTATTTTAAACAACCAACAAAATTGCAAAGAATAAAAAGTTGATATTTATCCAAGATGATACGTTTAAAACTGCGCGATGATCAAACCGCAATGACTCTAATGAAGCAATTAAAAATCGAACCACGCTCATCATTTACAAAAGCATTATCCTTCCGAGATACATGACTGAGACGGAGTCCTTGTAAAACAATATATAATACATATATATATAAAACATTTTTTTGTCCCATTTATTATAATAAATGATCATATCCTCGAATGTTCAAAGATACGAACATAAACTTACATTAATCTTAACAAGAAAAAATTAAATAAAAAATTAAACATACTTTGAGTAAACTTAAATTACAAGTATAAAAATAAAAAAAAATATTGTTTTCTACCAATTTTAAGGTTGATGATTACAGACTTTGTTTGATCTAGCACATAAAACATATATCTCTCGTTCTGAACCTTTCACCGTCACAAATACTTATTCGTTTTATCATTCGACTGAATACAAAAAGAGATCACTAATTATTGCATATGTCGCAAGGTTGTATTGGTCAATTAAAAAAAAACAGTTATAATCGGCTCAATTATCTCACACCAACGTAAAACCCTATGTACATTTTTATAAAAAAATCGATAAACGATCGAATAAAGCTACTCGAAAGTATTCCAATGAAATCGAATTCTTAATTGTAAAGTATAATTTTCATGTTACATATGTATGTTCTTTTATCTCGTGTAAATAAATAAATAATAATAATAATAATAATAATAATAAAACAAATACAGATGTTCTTTTTAAAAAAAAAATAGAAATTTTTACAGCAGCACGATGAACTCCGGAAGAGTCGACCTCTCGGGAATAATAGACTAGACTTTAAATAGGAATACGACTATTATATATTTTTATATATAGTATATATCTTTGTTCAGTATTATAAAGGTTGTTATATTATTCGTAACGCATACACTAGCTGCTAATCGTTAGTTTAATACATGCCTAGAATACGTTATAGTTCTTTCTGTGAGACCTGAAAATAATTTAATATGAGAAGGTTCGTATAATTCTTGATAAATAATAAAAAGTTAACTATACCTAATTATTATCAATATCTTTGTTACGAAATTAAATATTTAAAAAAAATAATATAACAAAAATTAAATAAAAGAAACAGACGACAACTTGACCTATTCAATTTTAATTTGTGCATAAAAGCTTTTAAATACCCCTATACACGAATGCACAATAATTATTAATTCATATAAAAAAAATTTCGTGTTTCTTTTTTCTTATATAAATATATATTTCTGAAAAATTTCCTACAAATTAATTAACCGTCGGAATATTAATTATTATAAAAAAGATACATATACATTAAATATTTTAAACACGAATATATACATTTTATACGAAACTTATTAGACTGCTGTGTATCCGAACAAAGACATAAAAATTATTTCTGAAAAAGAAAATATCCTGGTTTTATTTCGATAAACCGGTTTAAAACGAAAAAAAGAAATATAAGTATCTGATCAAAAATTTCCATTCTTCAATGCTGATCTTATTTACTCGTGTTATAATACTATATATAGAATTATAATAAATAATTGATTGTAAATGAAATTTTTTAATTTCTAATAACAAAATAATTTACTGTTTAAATTAAATCAAACTAAAATAATAAAAATGGTCTACTTTTTAAATCGGATTCTTATAAATTTTGTACAGTCTATTAAAAATAATTATAACTCACTCATAATGTTGTCTATTAAAGTATTAATAACGATCATATATAGAACTTTCTTATAATGTTAATAAGATCGTTTTGTTCATTGGCAGGACAGCGAACCATAGTTGCGTCGATTTTCCGTATTATAACCCTTGTTTATTCGATAGGAATAATAGCTTCCATTGTGGCCATAAACAGAATTATTCGAAACATTCAGATTGCGTTAGTACCGCATAAGATAAAATATCAGTCGACGTTTTACTTCGCATCGTTACTCGTTGGAATGTTTTATATGATAGATTTATAATCTCTTATTCTTTTCCTGTTTTATATAATAATTTAAATCATAATTTTTTCGCTCTAAGAAAAAGGATATCAATCCAAAACTTATTCTCGTTCATTATTATTATATATATATATCATATTTTTATCGTTAAATAAATAATAATAATGCTTCAAAATATTTGAGGAACAAATATTGAAAGAAGCAAGAAGTGGAAAGTGTTTCCATTTTCTCTTCCATGGTGCCGAGGAGCGGCTGCCATTCAAGCGCGAGATTATCTCGAAACTCTTACACTTTCACGTTTGATCATTGTCCGTCATTGTGACTCTTAAAGACATCGAGATTGAAATTAGCATTCCTCCTTTACTTCGAGATATAGTAGGTATCTATGAATTATGCAAAAATCGAAATATCAGTGTTTTTATTACTTTCTTATATATAATTGCAAAAAAATAGTAAAATGAAATGTTATTTTTAAAGAAAAATTGGATAATATTATATATATAGAAAAAATTAAAATAGGGGGAAAGAGAGATAGGGCTCTTCTTATATCTCTACATAGAATTTTTAAATAGAATTTATTCGATTTGCGATGTCATTGTCGGAGTCAATGGCCTCGACGTAATAATAAATCAATCGTAACATAGCAAGGAAGCCTAATCGTAGAAAGAAACAGACAGGGAGACATCAAACCTGTTGTATCTTTTGTTCTTGTACAATGTCAAAACATAAGTAAGACATTTAGCTTCAAAGAATTACAAAACAACTTGATTATAATTATGATCATGTATAGTTTATCAAATTTTCATTAAAACAAGCTTGATCGCTCAATTTTCCAAATTTTATTTAAAATTCTAATCAGATTACTGTTGTGGTAAATATATGCAAGATTACAATTATACTTTCTAATAATATTAAACTCTAATGTCAAAAGTATAACAATAAATTTTCTTCTATATCCTTTATCCATTTGAATTTCATTACATTTCGAAAAGGAATTTGACATTTCATAAGAAAAACTCTCTACCATAAATTTGACTTAAAAAGATAGATACACAGAAGGTGATAAATATCGAATAATAAAAAAATATCGTTAAGGAAACGAAGGTAGAAATTACTAAAAGTAATAATTATAAGTTTCGAAAAATTCTAGTTCAAAATAGTATGGTACAAATAATATCAAAGCAAATCATGCGTCGGTACGCTTTCTATCTGTATCTATATAGTCGTAAAGTTACGGTCGTGCTTCGATTACCAGCCGGAAAATTGTTACAACATCATTTCTGGAACCACACTGGTAAACGGATCTTGCAATCGTTGGAGAGTAAAAAAGGGTAAACATGTTTCCTTAAATGAATAAAAGTATTCGAAGGACATTAGTCTCTTCTTCGTGTGTATGACCTGATCGAACTATGAGTAAGGTTCATTTTGGTAGTCAAACATATACTAGCGGCACATACATATATGACTAAGTATTTTCATTTTTTAAGTCATTATTTTAAAATACTTTTAATTAGTATTTTGTTAAATAAATGTGGTTATTACATATGAATATTTTCTTCAATATAAGTTAATTCAAGGTTATAAATACTGATCACTTATACTACATACTGATATTTTATTACAAATATTGAAACAATTCATTTAAAATACTGACCAAATAAATAGCAAAAACAAATGAAAAAATCCAAATATATGTATGTGTCGTTTTTTTCCTCTATTTTTTATGTAACAATAAATAGAATCTTATATTATCAAAATAGGTAATAGTAATTATACTATGATTTTCCACAATTCAATTGGTGATAAGTTTCCACGATCTATCGACATTTTTATGCGAAGTAATTTATAGCTCGATTATTTAACAGTTAGACACAGGGAATTGGTTATTACGTCGTTATCGACGTATGTACATGCAAATGATAAGAATAACTTTTTCTCTTTCTTCTTCTCTCTCGAAGAAACGATCGTTCATTGTCGCGTCGAATCAACACAAAGCATCCAGGGAAGAGATAATGTTAGTCGTAATAATAACGAAGTTATAAAGAAATACTGTACTTTTAGTAGTTTCATTGAATATTTTTTTTTTAATCTCATCATTATTCTTAAATCATTTCTAATATCGTTTTAATTACCTATTCGATATTATTAAATGTATAAATAAACTCGAGAAAACTTTCTTCGTTATTTCAAACTTTACCTAAATTATTTAATAAATATCTACATATGCATAATTCTAATAATTCTGTTAATTGGAAAAATTGATGACATAAATTACACATGTATATATATATATATACCTAATAGTAAAGTTTTTTACACACAATAAATGAAGCATATAATTTGATTTATATATTGAGTAAAAAGATTCGAGCCATTCGTATCGAAACAATACGATCGAAAAATGCAACAAGTAGTTAGTATAACGCCATGCAAGGATACAGCTACGTGTACTGTTTTTTAAATCGTTCGATTAAACATTACCTTTCCGATCGATTTAAATTGTAATTTCGACAGAATTTATCAAATCTTTTCTTTGTTCTCAACTCTGAGTTTAGAGTTTTAGTTTAATAATAAGTGTTTAATTTTTTCTAAGAATCAAACTCTCTTCCTCTCTTAATACGAAGAAGAAACGATAGCATTGTCTTTTATAAACACAAAGCTTCATCTTATTGAAATAAAAAGAAAAAAAAATACATTCAATCGTATGTTCAATACATTATATCTCTTCGCTATTACGTGCGTACACATATATCAATTGCGTGACATTAAAAAAAAATAATTTTCTCTCTGATGCAGCTGATAAGACAATCACACTTCCGTATTGCACGGTACGACATTTTAAATTCAACTTCAATAAAAGAATGCTAAGAATTTTTAATGCAATTTCTCGTAAGTTCGGGAACTTAACCAGTCAGAAAAAAATAATAAAGTTTAACCCTTTGAACTCGAGCGGCACCGATACGACGCCCGGACGATTTTAAACGATTTTTCTTTGGTGCTGAAAAAACCATAAGCTTTGCACTTTTATAACTATGTAAGAACGTCTTTAAAAAGTTATTCACTTTATTGCAACGATAAAATTCACAATAAAACTTGTAGAGATCAAGTTTAAAATCATACGCGAATGGCATAATTGATTATTCGAACGAATGAAACGTGTTTTTTAGGGAAAAAAAATGAAAGGTATCAATGAAACATCTAATTTTCTAATATTTATTATATAATACGATCAATTACTTTTTTGCAATTGACGTTTACCAGTTATTATTCATATTAATTTGGAAAAAAATAACTGCAACTCACGTCCTGATCTTTTTTTTTGTTGTTTCAATTCACAGGTATTTTTATACTAATGGCTTTAGGATTAATTGGACTCACAACAGGCTGCTTTATTCTCGTTTGTCGACCTTACGATTTACTATTCCAATTTAAAGTCATTTTTAGCGAGGGTGGTGAGATATTTGAATTTTGGAGAAAACCTGACGTTGACATTTTTTTGAAAGTCTACCTCTTCAATATCACTAATCATGACGAATTTTTATCTGGGAAGGATAGCAAGCTCAATTTCCAAGAAGTTGGACCTTACGTGTACAAGTGAGTAAAAAGAAGTTTAATATTTATTTACGTTTTTATCATTATAAAAAAAAAAGCAATTACAAGTTTTTCTAACCGATCTTGAAAGATAAGATAGATCTAACCTTACGTATCCATATATGCACATATATATATGTTTCTATAAATACTCAGCAAAGCTAGTATAATTTCATATTATGATATGTTAATTTCTATAATTTAGAGAAAAAATGGAGCACGGAAACGTCAAGTTTAACAACAATGACACTATATCCGTTACACCGCTTCATCCTTTAGTATATGTACCGGAAATGAGTAATGGCACCGAACAAGATATTCTCATCTTACCAAATATCGCTCTTCTAGTAAGTATATTAATTAATTACCACATTATCTCTCTAATTTAAATTTGAATAAATAATATTTGAAAAAAGTACATATACAAATATACATCTGGAGAAATATTTAATTTATAAAACAATACAAAAAAGGTCGCAAAATGAAAATGATAATTTAATTTAACATGCAAAAAAAACTAAGAACAGATGATATTAACGTGTTTTCGAGAAAGTTATCAAAATTATGAAAACATTTGGATCATATAATTTACACATAAAAAATATATATTCCGTTAACAAATAAAATATTTCTCTTCGTTTGATTTTTCTATCGTACTCGGTGTTTAAACACGTAAAAACTTTGACCTTGACAATGCCATGGACTCTCCGTGTTATTGACCTTTCGAAATCGCACGAACATTCACGTGTAAAGGATACACAAAATGTGAATATATATAAAATACAAAAAAATAAATTAAAAAAATAAAATTTTTCTTTTTATTTTCAATCTCTTTCCAAATTAAATTGCTCGTAGCATCAAGAAAGCGTAGAGAAAGAAAAGTAATGAATAGAGTAATGTTGAACGATAAATGATCATTCGTAATGTTATGCTATGCATGTATCAGGATATTGATTATTCAGTCAATTCACATACTCACATAAATTCACACATACCACAAATACCTCCCAAATTTTTCTTTTGGATGAATCATCATCCAATAACGGAAGATCTTTGTAAAAGTATATACGAAAGAACAAAGATAAAATTACCTTAAACCTTCATTTACAAACAGCTAAACATTCCCAACCGTAATGTATTTACGAGCTTTGCACGTAACAGACGCTAACGTTTCACTTTCCTTCGAGGTTGTGCACATCCCTCCTCCTCCACCACCACCTCTTCATCTTTTTTCTTCTTCTTCTTTTCGTCCTTCTTTAACTACTACTCCTTTCTAGTACTTTCCTACGCGAAGAAATTACGCGAATTAGTATGAGGTAATCTAACGTTGCGCTCTTGAGGAATTACGAAAAACCTCAAGGAAAATATTCTAATGCTCCGTGACATAAAAGAGAGAAAAAAAAAATAAGGAGAAATCTCTTTTATTTAATTGATATATAAAAAAAAATTCATAATTTTTGATTAAATGTCAATTAAAAAAAGAAAAAAATTTAAATATAAAATATTTGTTATATCACAACAATTGACACGAATACGTGACACGAAATGCAAAAATAACGTGCTAAAGTTGTATCATCATACATATATTACATTCTATATATTTATGTTTGATATCATTCCATGGACCTTTCAAATTTTAATCTAAATAATTTCGCGAAATAAGTATAAGCATATACGTCATACTAACCTTATCATCAAAAGTGCAGAGAAGTTTAGAAACTTAACACGTTTGAACAAATAATTAAATGATAAATGAGTCAGTCTCTTTTAATATGAGAATAATTTGAATCATAATAATGTAATATATTAAACTTTAAAAAACTATTTTTGTAATTCGGCTTATATTTTGTATACAAAATCATATTTTTCGATAATAATTTTATATCATAACTATGTATATTCTTATTAATTATCATTTCTGAAAACTATCGATCAAAAACATAATGCATGTTCGCTTTTTGTGACGAAATATTACAGGTCATGCGTAGAAGTAATTTCACGTAGTGTAACATGAAGAAACAATTGACTTTGACACAAACTTGATTTCCTTGTGAAATCTCCAAGGCAAATTTCATAAAAACATGATCTACCATTGATATTATATAACGATATTCCAATGACACCAATCTTAATTCCTTTCAAAGGAAATAAGATTAATTAATAAAATTAATAATAATATCAATATAATTTAACCCTTTGACAATGGGCGTCAAAAAAAATTCCATTAAACTTCAATTTGATAGTCTATATCTCCACTATCGCTGACACGTGGATTCCTGAAGACTGATGCTCACAATCAGAGGGTTAAATATAACTTATTGTTAAAATATTAATTTATAAATTGTCATTTTCAGAGCATAACCAATGTGATGAGAGAAACATCGTATTTTACAAGATGGGGCTTAAATTTGTTGATAATTCAAACAGATACGAAACCTTTGGTTCCAATGACTGCTCGAGAATTCATGTTCGGTTACGAATCCACTCTGGTTACTCTGGGAAATAAATTCATGCCAGCTTGGATCAAATTTGATAAACTTGGTCTCATCGATAGAGTAAGTTACATAATATTTCTTTAATTAATTTAAATTTTAATTTAATATATGAGCATATTAAAAAGATTCTATAGTAATGACTCAATTAAAAAATCTTATAACCATTTACTTTTCACAATAACAAGCATGACACATCAAAATAGCGAACCTTCTCGTACTAGAATCGTGACAACTACTGTATAATAATAACATTGAATACCAATTCGTGGTAATGATTTTTCAAGAACTGTGTTATTTCATCGTTATATATATAATCATGACTTACATAATGGAAAATTTTTCATCATCGCGAAATCTCAACCTTTTTCTTATTTTCTTTTACTTTTTTTTTTCCTCTTTTCTTTTATTCTTTTTAGATGTATGACTTCGATGGTGATTATGAGACCATTTACACCGGGGAAAATAATGTAAAGATGACTGGTTTAATCGACAAATACAATGGAAATGTCGATCTTCCCTATTGGAAAGGGAAATGTGCGAATATTCATGGTGCCAGTGATGGAACTAAATTTCCAACTTATATTCAACCTAACGATACTCTTCTTTTCTTTCGAAAAAGTCTTTGTCGTAGTGCTCATATGGTAAGTTTAAATTATCGCTATCGTTAATCCTTTCATAATTTTTTGTATATATGAATATATTTATAGTTAGTATAGTAAAATTACAAGTATTATACTATTATTATTAATATATTATACGATAATAATTATACTAAACAAATAATATTAACTTTTAAACTTAATCAAATAAATAATAACTTTTAAACTATAGTATCACTTAAAATCTTATTTTAGCATTTGTTTAATTATATATAAATAATATTTAAGTATGTAATAAAGGTATACTAATATATTTATCTCTAAATTGTCTTCTATCAAATGCTATATGTCAATAGTTTTCAAGCAAAAATCTAATAAGCATAACTGCATACAACTTTAAGTGATACTAAATATAATTTTTTGTAGACATAAACAGAAAAATACGGAGTTATAGAAGATTAATATTTTATTCCTACATATTAAAAATATCATTTATAAGGAGAAAAATTATTAACAACATATACATATATATTACAGACGCGGACTGGTGAAAAAGTTGTAAAAGGCTTATATGCTTATAAATATAATTTCATGGAGAACGATATGGACAACGGTGCTTATAACGAAGACAACAAGTGTTTCTGCCGAGAAGGACGTTGTTTACCACCAGGTTTGATAGACGTAACCGCTTGTTATTACGGTAAGCTAAATATCTTCTTTTCTTTTTTTTTCTTGTGTTTCCCTAATTCAATCTAGAAATTTCAATTAAATCTATCATCATCGTTGTCAACATACTGTTTTTATTTGCATCAATCACGTATTAATAAATTATGTTATTTACATTGTCAATGACAATACATAGACAGTATAATAGTTGTTGGATAATCGATTATTTTATTATTTCATTAGATTTAGAAAAAATCATGCGCAACGATCGTAAAATTCTAACGAGCAAAAAAATTAAATAGAATTTTGTTTAGTTATGAGTCACCTTCTGATGTCACAAAGTATCCATTTATCGAGTTTTCTTTAGATAAAATAATATTCTAAAATAATCCATAATAATTAGAAAACTTGTTTTTTTTTTTTAACTTGAATTATATATTAATTGAATCTATATCTGATTTTTTTCAGGCTTCCCGATAGCATTGTCCTTTCCACATTTCTACAAATCTCATCCATCTCTACTCGAAGCGGTAAACGGTTTGCAACCAAATCCAAAAAAACACGAATCTTATTTTTATATACAACCAGAATCAGGCTTACCGGTTGATTTGGCTTTCCGTTTTCAAATTAATATGGCGTTTCAAGAAATCGGACACATGGCCAGAGTAGAAAAATTTTCTAACTTTGTTCTTCCTCTTCTTTGGTTCGAAATAGTAAGTACCGATATCAAAACGATATTAAAAACGAACTTACGAGGTGGGTTTTGATTTACACAAATGATGTTTCTAGCACCATCTACAAACAATCATTATATTGACTCTTTGCCGAATATGTTGGCGTTTTTTATGAATCGTAACAATAATACAAAATTTTTTCTTTTCTTTTTTAGGGAATGTACGAATTACCATCAAACAGAAACGCATTATTTTATATATATTTAAATGTTTTACCAGTGTTGCAAGAAGTCGTTATATATCTCCTGTTTATTTTTGGTACTATTTTTCTTATTTGGAGCGTCGTTAAAATACTTCTTTATCGTCCAAAAGAATCAACGATTAATGGTGAATGGTTCGAAGAAGAAATGCAAAGAAAAAGATTACAATTTTTAAATGACAGATCTTCCTTCACAAAAACGAAAGAAGCAGAAAGTTATTACAATACTCTGCTTAATAATTCAGAAAACAAAACAGCATCCAATATATGAAATGAGTTATCAATAACGAAAAAAAATAATCGTTTGATCATAAACGCATAAAGATCGATTAGAGATATAGAAAGAGGCTATCATTATCAAGGATTACACTTATACACATATATATAAAATAATAATAAATATCTAATCAAAAATCTAATATCCTTTCGTAACGAAATGAATATCGGAAAGGAAAAAATATGTACAACAATAAAGGTTCAAGAATTCAATAATGTTAAATATAAGAGTTTCTGATCTGTCTATTTTTTTAAATAAATTATGAAGAAAAAATAGAAAAAATCCTAGTGAATCAATTGAATTTGATATTCTTATAAATTTTAATACGAATTGTTTAGTTTAACTAATTATGATTAAATAATTTTTAATAACTTTCAATTAGTATATCAATGAATGATAAATAGTAATTGAACTGACTTTTATCAAGAATATCATTATATTCCTACTTTGAATTAAATACGTATTGTAAGCATATTATTAGATATACATCTTTGCATTTCGTATACAAAATGATATTGCGATTAATTTTTAAAGAAGTAAATTTGTAAATATGTAAATAACATTGTAGAAAAAGTAAGACGACTTTTGCGTAACAAAATTAATAATTGTTGATGTACTTATTGCGTAATAGATAAAACATGACATTTTGACATATGTAGGTATGTGCGTATACGTATGTTTCTTGAAGTGTTATTATTTTTAAAAAGTAGAAAGAATTGATATTTGGTAAGAAATCAATAATTATAATGAACAACAATTAAGGAAGGTATTTTAGTGTTTTGTCGAAAAACTTTATTATTTTGTTTATATTATTATATAGAGTTTAGAGTCTTAAAAATAAAAAACATAGAAACATTAAACGCGTTGTTTTTTCAGGCAGCATTTTTCTAAGAAACTACTTCGATCGACTTGCAATTTTGCAGACATATAAAGTACATATCAAGCTATCGTTGGACTTGCTATTTTTTTAATTTTTTTAATAATAATTTTTTTCTGGACCATGAGAAGTGAAAATTTTTTAGTAAAAATCGAATTTCCCTATATTAAGAGCTGTCATTTTGTCAATCTTTTTTTTTTTAATTCCCCCCGTCCAACGATATGAGTAAAACGTTATAAATATAAAACAAAAAGAAGTATGTTCGTTTAGGATGCCCAGGATAATCGCAATCAATACACCCAATGATAAACACTTTTTGTTACATGACCTGCGCAACATCCTGTAATATGTACAATTTGCAATGAAATGTTTTGAAAAAATTTGAGATTTACTTCAAACGTGTATTAATATAACTGCAAAAAAACAACACTAGATTAAAACGTTTCTTTAAATTAAATTCCCAAAAATCACTTAAATCCCAAAACGGATGTTCATACTAAAATACCCCCTTAAATGATTACTATGATACAATGTATGTATTGTAAACAAATAATATCCGTAATTAAATACTAGCGATCTTGCCAATTGAATAATCTCGAAAGCGTGAATAATAATAAGCATTTAATTTTTAATAAAGGTTTCTATAAAAATATTCACAATGTTACTAGTCTATTAATATTTTTTTTATTTCGGAAAAAAGATTCAAGAAGAATTCTAAATAATCGGATTTGGTGTTTTTTAATTTTATTATAAATATTAAAAATGTTTAGTGGTAATATGTATGAACCAATGACAAATAAATAAATATAATCCTTCGTATAAATGTGTGCTCATACAATTGATATATATACACTAACAAAAATTTATAGACTTACATGGCAAAAATATTTTATGATATTACCTTCAATAAGATAAGTGGAACAACACTGTAAAATGCAGTATGGATGATCACCGTACCTTAGATTAGATTATTTTTTAACTTAGATTACAGTAGTAATATAGATTATTTCTTTAACGGTTCTATAATTAAAACAAACACTACCTGTTATATCTTTATTGTTATTTCTTAATTTTATTATTCTTTGGCTACTATGTTTTTTCTTTTTCTCTTATGAGTATCGTCAAATGAATCATTAACTTTACGCTTATTTGTTTCCTTATGCACTTTAACTTCACTTAAAAGCTTTTTATTATCGCTTAAAATTTCTGATTTATTATCAAGTCTAGTTTCTTTAATCGTGTCTTTACTAATGGAACTTCTAGAAGGTAGAGGTTGTTCACAAAAAATTTTATCTTTTGGAACGACATTTTTACTAACTTTCTTCTCTTTAATACTCGTTTTAGGCATACTAAACATCTTATTCTTTGCAGTTTGAACATTATTTTCATTAATTACTCTGGCTGAAATGAAATCAACATTTTTAGAATTGTTACCAGCTTTTATCGTTATTTCTCTTTCTTCATGTTCAGTCATCATTATTTTAATTTCGTTATTAATACCAGTCAAATTATAATTTTTATTAGACTCGTCCTTTTCATTAACTTTTATTTGATTTTTATTTTTGATTTCTAAAGCTGTCTTAAATACGGTATCATGAGAACTATTACTTGATTTACTTTGTAAATATGACATGATACTGCATTGTTTATTTTTTTCCTTTTTCATTGTATTATTACTCTCTAATTTGTTTTGACCGTCATTTAATTTCATATTCTCTGTTGTAGATGCTGTTTTTTTAGAGTTATCTTCATAATTAATACTATATTCTTTTAATGCTTCGTGTGCCGTATTGCTATCAGTACATTTTCGTATGGACGAAATCTAAATACAATACATATCTCTTTTATATTGTAAATATAATACACATATAAAGATTAAACACAATTTCATTCACGTGATTAATATAGTATACATACCAATTTAGACATATCAAATTTGTACTTGTTAAGAAGTGTTGTACTACAAAGTTTATTGTATTCTAATTGATAAGCAATATTATGCATATCTTTTTCTTGAAAATCTTTCTCCAGTTTTTCACATACATGTTTATAATTTTCATATAAAACCGTTTTTAACTTATCATAAAAATATTCTCGTAACTATAAGTCAAATTAAAAAGAAATATAAATTTATTAAAAAACAGGATCTTCTATTAATTCAAAGCATGTCTAGTTTAATAATTACTTACTTGTACAGTCAAACCCTTTATTTTTATATCAGTACTCTCAGCAGCACGAACATTAGCTTGCTCAGCATCTTTATCATTTTTTTTCCTCACCTAAAATAACGTTAAATGAAAATATTATTATATACGTGCGCGTACTTAAATACGTATACATACTTCTTCATTACGATTGTTATTTCGACGCAAAGAAAACTGCTTTTCAATTAATTCTTTAGTTTCTCGTTTAGCATTGGTGATTAGTCTTTCTCTTGAACTTGATTCTTCATACTCACTCCTACAAATATAAATTTTATTTATATTAAAGAAACTAGACATAACAACAAATCAAATGATATAAATATATATATATATATTTCTTTTTTAATTTCTATTTAGCACTTACATATCATCATATTTAGAAAGTGCAAAACCATCTATGCTACTCGAAGATTTTTTCGAATATGCACCCGATCGTGGTCGATACATTTCAAATTGAGAAATTCTTGCTTGAACGATATCTTTATTTTTACATACATCGCAACGATTTTTGCACGCAGGTGGGCTATCTCCAAAATATTTAGAAAATACACCATGTCGACATCTGAAGACAAATTTTACACACATTAAAGATTAGATCAAATATTATATTACTTAAATAGATTATATAAAAATTAATTTTTAAATATTTTACTTGGCCTCAAGACAATATGCAACGCTTTTTTCAAAATTCTTCCATCGTACTTTTCCAAGTTCTGTATTTTTCTGAGAATGTTCTTCTTTTATTAGAAATGATATAGCTCCAAATTCTTCATTACTAAAATATATCCTACAAAAGGCTGGATTACCATCTCTACCGGCTCTACCAGATTCTTGGTAATATGCTGCAATATTTTGTGGAACTGTCCAATGTATTACAAATCTAATCAAAAACGTAATATATTTAAAAAATTCAATACACATATCCATACAAAGGCAATGCAAGATATTTGTTATATTTATTATATTGTACTTATGTATATACCTTACAGTTGGTTTATCAACACCCATTCCAAAACTGCATGTCGCTGCAATAACCGGTACTTCTCCTACTGTCCACTTGTTTTGAACTTCATTACGTTCTTGATTTTTCAAACCTGTATATTGAATATTGAAACATAAAAAAGGAATAGATAAAAGAAATTGGCAGTATGAAATATTTCAAGGATGGATTAACACTATAAATATAAAATTAATGATAATAATCATATATTATATACTTCATGACGCAGAACAATTATTAATCTATTTTGATTATTTTCACGTACCAGCATGATATGCCAAAGTTGGAATTTTAAACATACTCAATTTATTAGCTATAATTTCTGTGGCTTCTTTTTTTCTACAATAAATAATGCCACAATTTCTTTTAGCCTGTAATCATTGATATTCATTATTTACTATAATAACATAGAAAATTAGTAAAAAATAAATAAATGATAATATAAGAATGATTTTAATTACTTTTGGCACAGAATCATTTAATGGACCAAGGACTTCCACAATGAAATTTTTAAGATGATCAAATGGTTTATCTAATATATCTAAAAACCATACATCGTAATAAAGATTAGAACGAAAGACTGGAATTGAAAATTTTAATAGATTTTTCATGTTCAATGTCTGTAATATGTCATCTACTACCTGAAAAAACATGAACATATATAAATGTGTTGTTGTTGTTTAATAATTTGTTAAATAATACATGTACCTCTTTTGCAGCTGTAGCAGTTAAAGCAATTACAGGAATTTCAGGACAAAGTTTTTTAAATATACCTAATTGTCTATAACTAGGTCTAAAATCATGACCCCATTGACTTAAACAATGTGCTTCATCGACAACAAAATAAGATAGAGCCTTAGCTTTTCGTAACTTCATTACAATCTCCTATAATTTGATAAGATAATAGTAATAGAGAATAATTACACTATTACATTAAATTACGTAGATATTTCCTAAACATAACTTCTTACTTGAAAATGCTGTTGTGCTCCCATTTCAGGTGTAACATACAATAATTTAATTTTTGGTGAATTAGATGATAATTCTTTCATTATTGCATTTCTATCTTTGGCAGATGTATTTGAATTTAACGAAACTGCTTTAATTTTCTTACTAACTAAAAAATCCACTTGATTCTATATAGAATATTTGTTAAGATCATTTTTAATCCATGTATTTTAACAGTATCATATATCTAAATATTTTTTAAAATACTTATATACCTTCATGAGAGCTAATAGCGGTGAAAATACGATTGTAACTTTATCTTCCTTCATTATTGCTGGTAATTGAAAACAAAGTGATTTGCCTGATCCAGTGGGCATACATACGTAAACATCTTGTTTACCTAAAATTATTTCTAATTTATTAATTATTTCTTTTCTATTTTTTAGAGAAATATCTTAGCATATTATATTATAAGTTATATAAATATTCACAATCTACACACATTGACACTTAGTAAAAGGTTTGTTATTTAGAAAAAGAAATTTATTCACACATGCACACACAATAGAAATTTCCAACCTTTATAAATAGCAGTAGTGGCACGTTTCTGTATATCACTTTTAAAATGATCATGACCAAATACAGATTTTAATACGTTTGATAACATTTTAATGTTAATTATTAGAATAAAGTTAATACATAAAATATATTAATAATACTGATTATCATCAAAACAGTCACTCTTTCGAATGAACTTGAAGACGAAACAGTGGTTGTCAAACTTAGCTCCATTTCTCCACTTTATCATAGTTCAGAATATTATTCCTTCGAAAAAAATCTATTAGATACAAGAAATGAAAAGAAAAGAGAATTATTCAACTCTTTAATTTATTTTCAAAAACTATAAAAATATAGACTCCAAATATGATATTATTTTAATTTAACGGTAATTACATTATAATGTTCCTTCTTTATCTGATAAAAATTCAAATTAGATACTATCAAAAATGCGCGGGAAATCTACTGTTGACATACATATTGAAAATATATCGATTGGCGGTAATCGATAAGAATTAATATCTTCCATATTTAAAAAAGTTCTTCGACTACGACAGATATAAGAAATAATGTAATATTTTTAAATATTTTTAAAGAAATTAATATAAAAAGAATGCACAAATGAATTATTTTTTTTATCGACATTTTCGATATATCATTACGCAATAACTGCGCGAGATATATTTACTATGCAAATTAAAAAATTCTTCTCTTTAGATTTCTAACAAGGTGACATTCAGAAATATACGCAGAGATAGTAGTTGATATTATTTAATTGATAAGATAGTAATAATTGCCGCTGTCCAACGCGTATTATTATAGGACATAAAATACTTTGAGTGATATACGCAAACACATCGACAGTAGAAATATTGAAGAAATAAGAACAATATTGATTGAACAATGAATCGTTTTGCAAGTAAAATTCGCCCTTTCCGACTATTTTCAACAGTGAGTCTTCCCGTACCTGATACAAAACCACCAGTTTTATATGCTGGTATATTTGTTGACAATGAGTGGCATAAATCCAAATCTGGAAATACTTTTCCAACGATAAATCCTACTACTGGTGAAATCATTGCAGAAATACAAGAAGGAGATGCAGCAGATATTGATTTTGCTGTACACGCTGCTAATAAAGCATTTCAATTGGGTTCACCTTGGAGAACCATGAATGCATCTCAAAGAGGTCTTCTTTTGAATAGATTGGCAGATTTGATAGAACGTGATCAGACTTATCTTGCTTCTTTAGAAACATTGGATAATGGAAAACCTTATTCAAATGCGTATGCTTTCGATGTTCCTGCAACTATTTCGACCTTAAGATATTACGCTGGATGGGCAGATAAAAATCACGGTAAGGTCATTCCTATGGATGGAAATTTCTTTACATATACTAGACATGAGCCTGTCGGTGTATGTGGACAAATTATTCCTTGGAATTTTCCTATGGTAATGATGGCTTGGAAAATAGCACCAGCTTTAGCTACTGGAAATGTTATTGTCTTGAAACCAGCCGAGCAAACTCCTTTAACGGCTTTATATATTGCACAATTGACACGAGAAGCTGGTTTTCCTAATGGCGTTGTAAATGTTGTACCAGGGTATGGCAAAGCTGGAGCTGCATTAGTTGCACACAAGAATGTTGATAAAGTAGCTTTTACTGGTTCAACGGAAATAGGAAAATTGATACAAGAAGGTGCTGCTCGAAGTAACTTAAAGCGAACAACATTAGAATTAGGTGGAAAGTCACCAAATATTATTTTTTCTGATGCTGATTTTAAACACGCAGTTGAAACAGCTCATTTTGGATTATTTTTCAATATGGGTCAATGTTGTTGCGCAGGTTCTAGAACATTTGTAGAAGAAAAGATTTATGATGAATTTGTAGAGAAAAGCGCTAAACGTGCTCAAGCTAGAACAGTTGGCAATCCATTCGATGAAAACACTGAACAAGGTCCACAAATAGATGAATCTCAAATGAATAAGATCATTTCTATGATAGATACAGGAAAGGAGCAAGGTGCTAAATTAGTTACTGGTGGAAATCGTGTAGGAGAAAAAGGCTATTTTGTTGCACCAACTGTATTTGCAGATGTTACAGACGATATGACTATTGCAAAAGAAGAAATTTTTGGGCCCGTTCAACAAATTTTGAAATTCAAAAATATAGATGAAGTTATAGAACGTGCTAATAATTCTGATTATGGATTAGCTGCAGCAGTTTTCACAAAAAATATAGATAAAGCTAATTACTTAATTCAAGGTTTACGAGCTGGCACTGTTTGGGTGAATACTTACAATATATTATCTGCTCAAGCACCATTTGGTGGTTATAAAATGTCAGGTCATGGAAGAGAGCTTGGAGAATATGGTCTTGAAGCATACACAGAAGTTAAAACGGTTATAGTTAAAATGGATAAAAAGAACAGTTAATATAATATTTATTCTAACATTTTGCATTTCAATATATACATGTTTATATTTTTTTAATTTTGATATATAGATCTGTATTGTAAAAGTAAAGTATCATTTAATAAAATTTAATATAATCTAATATAAAAAAGGTTCTTCAGGTCATTTTTATTCTTGATAATTTAATAATTTTGCATACTAACTTAGAATCTAATCCAAATTTATTTTAATTACTTTCAGTATTTAATAAAATCAAATTCAATGAGAAAATGTTTTTTAAACGATTGTATCTATCAACTAACAAGCTCATTAGTTTATTATTTCTTTTGCACGATATATAAAAAAAAATTACCAATTATTAATAAATTTGTTTAATTTATCAACGTAATCGCATTATTACTACCTATTGAAAATTTCTGTGTTAATAAATAAATTCGTACATATATTTTTAAAACATGTAGGACATCGATTACTTTTTACCTAATTTTTTAATCATATTAAATATTTGTAAAGTTCATTTAAAATATGCGTCATTTTTTGAAATAGATTGCTTATCTATTACCAATGTAAGAACATTTCTTTGGTTGGTACGCCTGAATGGAATGAGTCCAATACAATTCCGGATAAATTATAGCGTTACGTACTGTTAACCTTATCTTCTATGAAGATTTCTCTCAACCTGTGAATGTTCTTTTAGAGTGCATTGGTCAAGTATGGAGTGGTTGTATATCTTATTGGCCATTGATGACAGTTCTCTGACATCTTTTTTGAAACTGATGTAATGATAAACATAAAATCATGAGTGACACAACAGAAATTTAATATAGCTTAAGACGCAAGTGTTCATACATAAATATACATATACATGTGACAGGTAAATTTATATAATATAATTATTGATGGATATTATTTTTAAATATAAACCAATAGATTAATAATGTGCTATATAGAAAATATATCATTCATATTAAATAATTTATAAAAAATTATATTGACACAATGCATTACGTTGTTCTCAGTACGTTAATCTGATATTGCCATTTTTTTAATACCTACATAATAAAATAATAATCTTTTTTTATACCTACATAATAAAATAATAATCATATCCAACTAGTGATTTGCAGAATTTTCATTGATTGCTCTCTACAGAGATAACAATTTTTCTAAAAGTGTATCATTATTATAATTAAATAAAATTTAATCTTTTAACGAGCAACTATACTTAGAAATAATATTACGTATATTCTATTAAATAGGTTATGTTTACAAAATTCATAAATGTACTAATATACATTTATAGAAATTTCTTATTTTATACAATGCAATAAATTTATCATGGATTTTGATTAATTTTCAAGAATTTGTAATTGTACAAATATGTATAAAACTATTTTCAAGAGCAATTACTATAAAAATACTTTTTTATTGTATATTTATTAGAATAAAAAACATGATTGATATTTTAATCATATTAGAGATTTATGGATGCATATATGCATTTGATAAAACTTGCCAGCATAGACTATAGATCCATATATGCATTTGTCGCATATTGATAATTGTTTCTAGTCTTGTCGCACCAAAATTATGTTTGAAAAAACTTTCTTATTTCATTTGGGAGAATAACAATTATAATCTACTATTAGCTACATCTAATATAATCCATCAATGGATCTCACACTAATAATAAAGTATTCCGTCTCTTTAAAGCGCTTCAGATAAGAATATTCAACATTCTAAGAATTAACTAAAACAAGCGTTATTCATAAAGTGATATATGCTATTCATTTTTCAGCCTACAAGCCATGATGATTCATATTCCTTGATTATTGAAAAACTTTAAAATATCATCATGGAAGAAAATGAATTATACAATGTTACAGTTCCATTTTTGTCTGGTATTGAACCAGCATTTTGGAACTATTCTGATCATGTTATTCTTGATGATCTTAAAATGGATAGCAACTTTATATGGTTGCTTTGTTCATTAGTATCTGCCATATCTTGGATCATCTATATAGTTTATTATAATAGCAGAGTTATTGGTTACATATTAACAAAACTGTTGAATCGTTTTGTTATACATGATGGATATGTTAAAATTGGTACATACAATAATGATTAGATTAGAATATACATATATATTAAAATACACAATACTTATATTATTCCATTTTTAGGATCATTTACATTAAGTGCTCTAAGTGGAAAAATAATGTTTAGAGATATAGTTTTTATTACAACAGATTATAGTATTAGAATACAAGATGGATGGCTTATATTTAGGTGGTGGAGGAGTTATGTACCAAAAGATGTATCGGAAGGTAAAATTGATATATGTATATTTGGCATCAAATAAAATACTAAATTCAATTTAAAAAATCCAATTAATTTCTTTTATGTTTTAGATCTTTCTCATTCAGATACACGACTTTCAGTAATGTTAAATGGATTTGAATTGCATGTATATAATCGCTGTCAGTTATATGGACAATTAGGAAAATTATTCGGTCTCACAACTGAAATGTTTGCAGACGAAGAAATTTTTTGCATGAATACAGATAATCATGATGCGACATCATTAGGCAATACTACTCATGAAAATCGTCAACAAACAAATGCAATGGATGTTTCACGTCATGTTGATAACATTAGAAAAAAAGAAGCTCATGTTATTGCTAGAACCTGGAGAGATTTAATACCTGTTATTAAATTAGATGTTTGTACGGTTAGTTGTAGTAGTTATATTATTTGTCTACCCAATTATTGTGAAATAGGTATATGTTTGTTCAATGTAGTTATATTTTCAGGGGAGATTAGTATTTGGTAATCGCTTAGTACCAACAACACTTTCAATAACTGTAGAAGAAGCACATTTTGTATACTCTACTAAACCAGCAGCATCTCGACATGATCATTTTATGCATTTTTCAAAGTGTAAAGCAGAAAATTTTAAAGTCATCTTAGCACCTAGTCCCAAGTATACAGGAATGGTCGATGATCCACCTAGGTATATGGGTGAAGGTTTTGTTGTCTTAAGTTCTAATAATATGGAAGTATATTATTATATGGATGAGCCTGGATTCGTTCCTGAACATCCAGAAATGATACAATTAGTTAATGGTGATATGGTCGAAGCAATGCCACCTATATGGGGTATAGACATTAAATGTGGGAAGGGTACAGATTTTAGTTATGGTCCTTGGGCTGACGGGCAAAGAGAACACTTATTCAAGTTTTTCTTTCCAAATGATTATCAACCATTGAAAGTTACAAAAACTCCAATCCCAGGAGAGAAAAGACAAGTGCAATCTTTCGATATTAGATTATCAACACTTAACGAAGCAACAGTTGACATACTGTTTAGTAAAAATAGAGAAACTAATGCTGTTCATATTAATGTAGGACCAGGATCATATTTGGAAATTACCATGCCATGGATAGTCTTACAGGATGGATATACTACCAAAATAACTGGCCAGTTATTACATTTAGAAGCTACAACAAGCTTGCAATATCGTAGTTTATTTGAAAGTGAAACATTAGAATTTGGAGTAAAATGTCATTATCCGATAAGATGGAATGATCATCAAGAATGGGCTCTAAATTTAACTGGATGTAAGGCCACGGCTAATTTAGTTTATTCGCACAAAGAATTTTTTCAAGATATGATTAATGAATGGGCCAATAAATCGAGGCCTGATATATTGCATTTTGTTCCATATACGTGGAAATTCAGTTTGTTATTGAAAGAGTTTGAGTTAATCACAGTTTGCAACGAATATAATTGGATCGATTGTTCATCTCAAAATCAAGAAAACGCACATATTGCTTTTTGCGGAGAATTTTTTGATTTATCATTTGATCTCCCTTTTGTTGACTTCCTACCTTTGACAATACCTTTACGTTTCTGGATTCAAGGGGAAAGTGTTGATCTTTCGTTTTATTTGCCAGAAGTTAATACAAACCGTGCAATACTATTAGCATTAGATAAGAATGCAAAGATTATGACACGTGATGGATCTCATAAACATTTAAACGAATTACATAAAGGTAAAAAGTGGAGAAACGTATGTCAAAAAGGATCAGGATGGGTAGACTGTTGGTCTGTTCCAATTGTAGCATTAAGTATTAATTATACATATCACCCATGTCCACCATTGGGACCTACTCCACAAGCAAATATAACAACCCCTGAAAAAGAAGAAATTTTACTTTCTCCCATAAGAATTCCACGTTGTAGAAAATCACCAAGTCTTCAATGGACACGGAATGGTACACAAAAGTTTGATCCACAATCTATACCTCCGGATAAAGTGAGTTTGGAACTTGAAATTGGACCATCTATATTAATTTTATACGGATCATTATTAAGAAGTTTTATGCATTTAAAAGAAAATTTATTTGGAGATTATCAAACTTTCACTGATATGCAACAGAGTAGAACTAGCCCTACAGTTGTAAGTACTGATAGAAGTAAAGATCGAGATATGCAAAACAGCAGTGTTGAAGCATCAACGGAGGATGAAGAAATCAAATCTAAACCATTTGATCCACGAGATTATCGACCATTAGAAGTTACAGTAGGTATTACAATGCATGATATACAGGCTCATCTTATTAAAAATTGCGGTGAAAATGATCCACCCTGTCCTGTTATACTTCTGGAAAGATTTGGTTTTGAAATGAGAAAAACTTTCAAAGAAACAGAATTGCAGCTTCTTCTATCACCTGCAATAGCATTGCTTATGGATAATGTACCAAGATCGAGTAAAGAAAGACATTTAAATCAAGGTCACTTAATGTTAAGTGCATTACAAGTAAGAGGTCATGCAATGTTCAGTAATGAAGGAAGAAGTTTGGATCAAGAAACATTAGAATATGCATGGCTAATTGAAATTCAATTAGGAAAATTAAGTGGAAAAATTAGTTCGCCACAATTACATCACCTTGTAACCTCTCTGGAAACCTTTTTATTAATGGTTAAGAATTCGGAAAATAGCTTACGTCCTCCAGATTTACCTCATCATTGTCATCATGGTGTTCCTCCATTACAATGTACAGACAGTGATCTTGACAAACATTATAGGTGATTATTATTTTTTATACAATTGCATCAGATGCAAAAATGCTATTAAGTTAGGAATATTAATATATGACAATATATATATATATGTTTTAGGTGTCCTAGTTCTGAAGATATCAAATATAGAATGACAAGGTTGTCTGTAGATGCTATTGATTTATATTTCCAAGAAGTGGGCACAGTAATACAATTGTGGATATCTCCAATTCGTTTATCAACTTGTAATCTACATGGACAACAAGTTAAATCTGGTGTAACAGGAGTACTACCTACAATATTGATTCGCCAATTTGTATCTGCAGCTGGCCATTTTGCTAATACAAGTAATACTAATACAACTGGCAGTGGAAGATCATATAATAATACGAGTAGTAGATTGTCAGGTATATGTTGAATGAATATTATGAATAATCGTTAATTGTGCAGGCAGACCTATATGATGATTTTTATTATATATACAGGTGATGGAACTGACATTTGGCTTGAAGTAGGATCAGTATCTTTGGGTCCAGTTATTCTAGAAGCTGCAATATCTCTCCCTACTCCGGAACATGATTTGCATTTAGTACAAAATAAATATTTAAAAATGCACGATGAAGTAACAAAAAGATTGTGGTTTCTTTGGCCCCAAGAAAGTGGTGTAAAATTAACGAAATGCGGATGCATTGGTGGATGTGCATTTTTTGGAAATAACAGAAATGGCTCAAGATTTTTTAAACCGAGCTATCACGATCTACAAGATGGAATTAATATCGCTGCTTATAGGTAAGATAGACCACTTTAATAAATAAAATTGTTCAAAATTTTGTTATACATTGAAAGGTAAATTATAAAAAATATATATGTAAGTGGTTAAAAAGTATTATAATTACTACTTTTCGCTATAGAATAACTTTTCACGCAGTTGCTTAATCCTTCTCTTTTGTTTGTTAATAAGCAATTTGTACATTTTACTTCGCTTTCTCATATTTTCTATTGCTGATTTTATTTCCCATGACTCATCTTTTTGATCATTTTCCTGAATTGAAAATGTCCACATATTTGCTTCAATAATTTTCTCAATTAATATCTCTCCAAGATGAGCTTCTTCTATAACTAAGTTCTCAGTTTCTTTTATATCGGCAATCATATTTTCTAATATTTCTTCTTTCGGTCCTAATATTTCACCACTTTTTACAATTTTATTTTCTGCTTCATACATCATACTTTCAATTGTTGACAAAATTTCATTCCATTCTCTAATTTTAGAGAAATGTTTTTTTAAATATAATATTTAACTTATATAAATGTTTAAGTATTCTAATAGAAAAAAAAACAATAATATACCTATATGTTTCTCGTAATTTATTATATATTGCTTTGTCAGATTGAATTTCTTTTTCTATCTCAGATTTCATTTTTTCTATCATTTGTAATTGTCTTTTCTTTCCTCTTTGTAATATTACTTGTCTGTCAGTAACAAGTAAATCTAAAAATGTGGAAACAACCTCTTCGGGATATAAATCGCATAATTTATTAATATCATTATCTGTTAATGGTTTAGTCACTGTCAATTCCCACATAGATTCCGTCCCTTTTTCCTTATAACTTGAACAACATTTAGAGTCAACTGAAGATGTTAAAATATGTTCTTCCATCTGTGCTATTAAGAGTCTTCGCTTCTCTTTTTGGAGTCTATATCATGATAAGAAAATGAAATAATGTAACGCGATACTATCTATTAAAAAAATTAAAGATGTTTCATAATCGATTCAAAAATATTTCTTGTATTTTTGATTGAAAATACCTAACAATAATTTTTTGTCTTAGTATTTCTATCAACTTCAAGTTTTTCTGCTCAGGAGTTAATTTGAACATGTATTTCATTTCGGGATCTTTTCTTAAATCTTGTTCTAATCTATTTAATAAAAACTTTATTACGTCATTGTTCTCATATTCGACTCCTGTTATCTTCTTATCAATTTGCCTAAGTAATTTATTGTAAAATTTCATTTCATCTCTTTGTCCGGAACTTGCTGTTTTTTGTGGCATATTTAATGATTGATACAGTTGAATAATATCACCTATACATATAACATGTACCTATAATAGGTTTATCATACTATTTAATAGATATTTATGAATCGAAAAATTTTTATTATATATTTTTATTATTTATGTGATAATGTGTGTACCAGATATTTTAGGTTCTATATTATGTTTGTAAAAGTCTTTCATTTGAGCTTCTGATAAATGTTTCCCCAATGCAGTAATTTTAGATATATTGTCTAAAGTTTGTGATTTAGATGTGCTACTAGTACATGAACAACATATACTACTAGACGTACGTGATATTTCTTTATTAATATTTAATCCAATATATGCATATGTTCCTTGATCATTTGGTAAACAACGTATTGCAACATATGTTTGACCATCTGCTGATTTTTCTTGAAAATCTTCAGGCATTTCACCTAATATTAGATTTAATTGTTATCTATTTTGTATATAAATATTATTTTTCTAAAGTATATTTCAATTATAATAGATAATGGATTGGAAAATGTCTTACCAATTCCAGTTTCTATTTTTGATAAGGAGATTTTATCTGATTCTTGTGAAATAAAAATATTTTTTGCAAGTGGCAAAGGTTGGTCACCTGGAGGCATTAAAAATAGCCCAGTCATTCTTTTTTCTTGCATATTCATAAGTAGCTGCGATAAATATATATTGCGATTACGTTTAGATGTTATTCCTTTAACTTTTTCTCCGCATAATTTTGTAAGCCATTGCATGCATAATAATTTATCTTTCTCATCAAGAAGTTCAGTGTAATAAGTTTTAGCCAATGATATAAATTGAAGAAAATCATAATCTAAAACTTCTTCAATTTCCAATTTTTGAGCCATAATTAAATACTATTTATTATTATTCTTAATGCACAATATAAAAAAAACTGCTTTTTTTTTTATCAAAAACATGAAGAAGAAATAACAACTAATATATATTTACAATTTTGACATATACAGAAACAAAATACAACTACTATATTACATAGATTACTAGGCACACAATAATGTTTATTTATAAGTTATATAATTTATTATAACATTTTATTTAAGGATCTACGAATCAGGAAAAGATAAAGGATTTGGACAGTCTATTTTACACGATAATCAATTAGTTTTTCATACACCTCCTTATAGTTTACAAGATGTATCTTTGCAAGACTCGTGTTATCCTGTCACAGGTGTCAAAGTAACTATTGTTCAAGAAGGATTACAAACTTCAAAGAAAAATATTGATCGTCCAAGGTCCGTGTGTTACGAATAAATATTTATTTATAAGTTATTTACCTGAATAGTAAATTTCACGTTCCTTTTTTTGTTACAGTGCATCTAATATAAAAGATGTTCCATATTCTCGCTTGGTTGATGCCAGTCCTGTTGCACAGCTACCACAAAAATTAGATTCTGATTCTAAATTAAATACTGAACGTAGTAAATCTATCTTAAGTGTTCCAGAAATTGAAACTGTTCCAAAAAGTAGTGTATCTGATTCTAAATTAGCGGTAGATTATTTTAATGCAACAGATGGTGATACAGCAGAACAAAGTAGTAGTCCTCAGTCTTTACCTGTAGAAATGGCTTTTTCTGGATCTACAAGATCAGCCACAAAAAGTAGTGATCGCGTCAATGTATCTGATTCTCACCATTCATTGTGTGTTAGATCAGATTCCGAGGAACGGTTCAAACAAGAAGTAAGTAGATGTATATCCTTTAAGAAGAAAACATTTGTGTGTATAATATATGTTTTAATTAATTTCTTTATCTAGGTTCAAAGAACTATTTCAATGTCATCAGAAAATCATTCAGAAGCATTTTATTCTGCTGATGAAGATATGAGTCATGGTTTAAGCGGAAGTAGAACGTCTAGTTTACGTCAATCTATCGTTGGTTCTGGATCGGTCTTAAATCGTAACGATAGTATGAAAAAAAAATTTTCATCCGATCTGTCTATCGTGGAAAGTTCAACAAATGTAAATCTTTCTGCAGCAGATAAGGCTCATACTTTAGAAAGAGCTAAAACTCAAACGCTAAATTCGAAACGCAGTCCAAGAGTTACCAAAAATGCTACTCTCCAGAATGATACTGGTGCATTAAACGATAATGGAGCTCTACAGGATTCTTCTGATAGTCATTCCGTTTCATCTACCAGTTTTATATCTGCTGTATCGTCTCAAGAAGATGTTACACTTGTGAACTTGCATATGCAAGTGAATAAACCAATTGTCGATTCTCCACTTTTAATGTCAAGTTATGTCAGTCATTTGACACAGGTAAAACGATATAAATATGTTTTTTTAGATCAAATTATGTATTAATCTTGTAAAATAAATAATAGATCCGTGTGTATATTTAATAACAAACAAAAAATGTAAAACTAAAGGTAAGATGCTCTAATTGGGCACAATCATCATTACCTTCTGGTGGAGATGCATTTACTACACCAGTATTTCAACGTACAGAAGATGGTAGACTGGTTTATGTAGGAGGGAAATATGTGCCAAAACTTGAAACGATTAGCGAAGGATTTACATCTTTGAAAATGGTAACACGTTGCGATGGTTCACCTATTGCAGGATCTTCAAATAAAACACCCACGCATCCTTTCTTATGGGATAGTACAACATTAAATCAAATGGAAGGTAAATATATAAATATTATATTAAGAGATATTACCTTTTAAAGATTATTTTACATTTATTACATTAAATATTAGGTGAAGATAATAATGCTACTCACGATGAAGAGGAATTATTGGCAGCACACGAAACAGGATCTCGAACGACGGTTATCATAAAATTCAAGGGAGATATTGATATCATGATAAGTCCCATGGTATTAGAGTCTCTTCAACATTTCATAGAAACTATCGTACCAACTCTGGCTATATTACATCCATTGACTATTTTAAATCATCTCCATAATGAATGTATAGAAAAAGTCAAGGATGCTAACATTTTAAAACAAGATCAAAGTTTATCTTATTGGAGTCAAGTGCAAACCAGCTCTAAACGATCAACAGCAGAAAGGAATGTTAGGAATGGTCAGGGTGATGATAAAAGTTGGTTTATGCTCATTAAATCAACCTCTTTCTTTTTTTCTTTTATTTTATTTTCATCTACATCAGTTCTATTTTAATGTATTATGTTTAGGTAAAATTGCGTTACAAACTAACGTTTACGAAGAAAGTATTACGACACAAGTACAAGGTAGCATCATTTTACCAAAGGTATTGTATGCACACCCACACACATACACATGTTTTTAACTAAAATATTATATTTATTAAATACAAGTAATTATAATAACATTATTTTTTTATAGATGAACTTAACGTTATTGCAAGCGTCTGTTGTCGAAGAAATAATATCTTTCTCTGCACTTGAAAATATACGAGATCTTACGTGTGTATCACTATTTGCAATTTGTTTTGACGATGTCACCGCAAGATTTTATCTTGGAAAGCAAGCAAGAGAAGTCGTTCAAACGTTTCACAAACCTGCCGTTTTACCAAATCAAAAAAAAGTTAATAAAATCAGTAAAGCTTTTTTACCTGGTCACCAAACTACAGCTGTAGTAAGTGATTTTGGTGGCGGAGAAACTGTATATATTGAAACATCTGAGAAACAACAGGAAGAGATTATAATTACTTTAAATGTTGGTTAGTATATATGTATATATCATTTAATTATATTAAGTAGATAAATAACTTATAACTTTATTATTTATTATCGTATTATTGTATTATTGTATTTTTTATAGGAAAAGTTCATACGCAATTGCGTAGACTTAGGAATGAATCTTCAATATTAAAAGATGCTGTTATAACAGCTATACCTGCTCATTATTCAAGAGTATTGTTTACATGTACAAGAATGACTTCTCCATTAAAATGCATTGATTATTATCTTTTGCAATTACCTGATGAAAAAGATAAACAAAATGTAATAACTTTAATTTATTAAGATACATATTATTGTAGTTTTTAAAAATAATATTATAATGTAAATTTGTATGCATGCAATTTAATAGAAACAAACAGGCCCTTCTCAAGCTACAGAAGAATTTACTATGGGTAGCGGGGAAGATCGATTAGGATTCATTATGTTCGAATGTGGTTTGGAAGGGATTAAATTAAAAATTGTAAAGAGATCGCAATTTGAAAAAGGAGAAAACGGACGTGATGATAAAAAAGCAGATACTGAATTATTATACACTGATAGTATAAAAAGTCAAGATGAATTAGATAATGGAGCTGGTATGTATAAAAAAATCTATACAAAATTTGATTTACTTTTTATTTTAATAACAAGTGAGAGGAAAAGAGAGAGAATACGAAAAATATTATTTTTTGTCAGCTTCTACAACTCCAGCTGCTGAACAAGAAACAAGTTCGACAAACGTACTAAATGGAACGCAAATAAATAATAGTGCTACTTGTACTAGTCTTCATTCCAAAGCAACTAATGGAAATACTGTTTCATGTATTATTGAATTAAAAACTGTATGGTTTAATTTTGCAGCACCGCCTCGTACTCCGATAACACGAAAAATAGATTATACACGATTAGATTGGAATTTGCTCAGCACTGCATCTCCAGCCATTAATGCTTGGATGAATCCAAGTAATAAATTTGCTATTAGAATTGTTTATATGTTTAGAACTATGTATCGAAGATCAACAGCAATAGTTGCTTGTCTCATGGCAGAAGCATTAGATGTGCAAGGAATCCACATGCCTGTTAAGGTAAAATCCTATTATATTAGAAATAAATTGAACGAATGTATGTATAAATCAGTGATGTATTCTTAGAGTCGTTATGGAAGATTGACACCGCTGGCTAAAACTCTACAAGAAGATCCATCGTGTCAATTATGTACAATTTTGCAAAATTATGTATTACTATCTGATTTGGCTAATATAGAGACAAATCTTAAAGAATCTGATTTACCTCTTTTATCAACGCTTCGACAGGTAATAATAGTTATATGATATTTATATTAATATCATATTACATTAATATTATATAGATAGATATATTTGTAATCTATTTTTATATGTCTACTTTATCCTACAAGGGAGTAATTGTATTAAGTAGACAATGGAAAAATGTACTTTACACCCCATTACTTTTGGAACACAACTATAAAACTAAACATGTCAAACCTCTGAACGTCACATTTGCTGTTTCTGATCCTGATGAGGTAAGATTATACATATTTCATTAACATTTTTATATGTTACATAATTATAATTTAATATATTATTAATACAGTTTTAATATAGGAAGTATTACTAAGTATATAATAATGCAATATTTATAATTTCAAACATTGTTATACACTCTCCATGAGAAAAGCATAAATCCAGTGGCATACAAATCAAAATACCATTAATATTAATTTAGAATATTCCGACATCATTTTGCATCTTTAATAAATAAACATAAGTAATCAATATACTTTTCATTGTGCGAAAATGTTAATTCTGTTGAGAATTCTTCTTTCAGCAATTGATCTACGAAGATTTGGAAGGAAATAACAATGTAAAAGAGAGTAAGAAACATTTTTTTTTTATATACATGGGACAAATTAAAACACCATGCAAAAGCTTTATAAAATCCTCTCTTCACTATTATTAATTAATTATCTTTGTGAAAATATGTGCGCTGTGCTGTAATTTTAGTTCCAAAAAGATTTCTATAGTCAATATAGCATTTTTCATTTAACTGATTAATACGTTTAAAACAAATACTATTGTAGATATATCTTTCATAGAAACGAAAGTGCTTTTTCACATGATATATAATAATATGAGCTTCTAAGATACACACGCTGTCTCTCTCCAAATGTGATAATATTAATTAAATAATGCTATTTTTATTTTATTATATAATACACACATACACACATATATGAATGTGCCTAACGCAATGTGAGTTTTTTCACTCTATGCTATCATAAGAGAAAATTTTCTTGTACTGCCATTGGTAAAATATATTGATGCTTATGGGTTATATGTATAAATTGAAAACAAATGTTAGAAACATTTAAACTATATTTTCAAATACTTTTTGCACGTTAAAATAAAGAAAAATTCTAAAATAAACATAGAAAAACTTTAAAGTATATATTTGATATGTAAATCATTCAATATTATGCGGTAAATACTATTAGCTGAAAGGTGTCATGATATTTAAATAATTTCTTACATTATAATATTTTGAAGAATATAATATAAATAATTTATTCATTATTGATTATATATTTTATAAATTTATTATTATTGCATTCTGCAGCTTTTATGAGAGAGAGTGGAGATAAATTTTACATGTAAAAAATATGTAAGGGTTTGGCGTATTAATGTGTAGGAAAATTTGCTGACGGATGGGGAGGGTAGTGCAGGAGATGTTGATGATCAGGAAGTGACAGATGAATATGCTATGCTAATCCACACGGACCATATGAACAAACATATACATGTCAAGAATGGACAAGATAAAAGCTCAGGTAGTACTTATTTAAATAAACCAACATCATATATTATAATTTCATATAAAAAAAAGGCAGCAGGATCTTATGTTTTTCTTAGCTTTTATAAATCTATATATTTAAGTTACATTGTATAAAAATCTAATAACATATGGGTCATAAAATGGCCGATTTGGCGTAGAGTGACCTATGTGTAATATAATAATATATCAGTTTTACATATGTCTATAGTTAGTATAAAGTTATAAGGTTTAAATATATTTTTGTAATTTAACTACATATCAAATAATATAATAACTTTGATTTTCGAATATTATCAATATAAGAAAAGGGAAAATTTTTTAATAACTTTCTATTATTTACCGTGTAAAATCATTGCTATTGAATTAATGCTTTTTATAGCTTTGCTCTAAATTTATAAACTATATTTATATTTTCATGTACTTTAAATGAGTAAACTACAATGAAAAATTGTAATACAATTATTTTTACAAATTAATACTTTTAAATAATTATCAATATAATTGATTAAATTAGCATTGCTTTATTAACATTTATATAGTGAGAGATTCGTAGTAATTAAATGCTTACACACATCCATGCTTTGTTGCTTTGTTAAATAGTCCATTAACATCATTAAGGTTTGCACAGCTTAACAAAATCTGTTCAATATTTCATAGCTTATTACTTAAGAAAAGCGTTAATATGTACAATTGAACAATTCTATCTACCAAACAACATTCTAAGATATAATAAGAATCATTATCAGTGATTAATATTATTATAAGCTTTTCTTAAGTACTTTGGACATTGCAAAGATATTTTTTGTGTAAAAAACATTGGATTAATATGAAACAACCAGGCATGTGTGGTGATGGTTTGACGGTTCCTGTAAGTTCTCCTCGTGGGGAAGATACAACCCCATTACCAACACCGGTTCCAGGCCCGGATTCACTAACCTCTCCCTCTCCACCAGTAGTTCTTCCAAAGAGAGGAAAATCGCTGCAACCTACACAAGTACCTGTTAGTACACGAGCAAGTATTGTCTTTCCCTTGCTTGCAAGCGGTGGCCTGTTCAATCAAAATCGAGAACAGAATAATATAAGTAAGTGAGACATCTCAAATGTTTTACTAATGACAATTTCTAATCATCAGACTGAAGTAATTACTCTTTTACGGTTAACAGATGAAGAAATAAATATAAAAATTGTATATATCCACATTTTTAATAAATTAATACATTAGCTTCACAGTTTAATATTTTCATATTTTCTAGTTATTATCATTCTGATGAAGAAAGTATTGTCTTAATTATTATCAAACATATTAGACTGTAATATCTTTTATTCTTAACTTCTTAATTGTACATATTCTCTTGCTTCTGACCTATATTTTAATTAAATCCAAAGCTTATCTATACATTGCTTATACTAATTTTTTTTTAATATTTTATATGAATGCTTTTTAACTTTTAATGGGTATTGTAAATAAACAATGTAAATTAAATTTGTAATATTATGTTGTATAAAAGAAAAAGAAAATATTCTTTTATCAGGCTATGGAGCATTACGAGAAGAGAAACCACCACAAATTCAAGTATCCCATTCTCATCAACTTGGTTCTAATCCTAGTATATATTCTGGAGGTCTAGGACATGGAAGTCAACATAGTACTGGGAGTTTAGATCGAATAACTTCTCCAATAAGTCATCATTCAAATAAACCTATTAACACTGAAGAAGATTTATACAATTGGATGGCAAAACAGCAAGAATTTATAAATGATAATGAGAAAGGAAATGTAAAAGGACACTGGGTAAACTTTATTATCATATTATTAATGATCTTTTTGTATTAAATTAATACATATGTTTAGAAACTTGTTAACGTTTCTAAATATATACTATACTTTTGTTTACTTTCTCTCACTTTCTTAGGTCTTTCATGCAGAACAAAAGTCAATGAAGGTACTTCAGAGTAAACTAATTTTATATAGAAAAACATTAATTTTATTTTAATATTATATTTTTAATCACTTTTATATTTTATAAATTTCATTACGTTTCATTGACTTCCTATGCATGTAAATATTTTTTTATGGTATCCATTCTTAACAATGTTATCAATCTTATAATCGTTATGAATTTTTAATACTTTTAGGATTCCAAGATTAATACTATGACAACAGATGACACAGAAGATTCAGATTTACATAGTGGTGCATTTTTATACCCAATGAAGGATTCCCTTCGATTATTGGATGCTCATTTAATTTTTGAACCTCTTTTATCTTCATTATCTGTTATGCCTCAACAAATGTTATCAGCAATTGGTTCTGGAAACGTAAACAATATGTCATCCTTAGATTGCTTAGGATCAAATTTGTCTCTCGTAGGATGTATGGATACAATGCGTATCGATATTGTTGTCAGTGAATTTGGAAAAGTAACAGATAAAAAGAAAAGTATGTTTATTCATTTTAATGTTACCTAGTTAAATTGCTTGAATAGTACTAATTTATTTGTATGATTCTAGGTAACAAACAGAAAAGAGGTGTTGGATCGAAATTTTATTTGGACATCCCTCCTGAAACACCAGCATTTTTATGTGAAAAAATTGGTGTTGATATAGATATTAAAAAAATGGCTGATATGACAGTAGATGATATGATACAAAAACAAAATGTTTTATATATATCTAGAGGCCAACTAAAAAAGCATATTAGTACAATAGTTAATGTCAGTCTCAATATACGTTATATCAGTCAGCAAGTAACTATGCCATTACTCAGGTTATTGCACCAAATTAGTAATATGTATCAAAATGTTAAAGAAACACAAATGGAATTAAAAGAACAACATCCTGAAGCCAAACGAAATACAAATTTACTTGTCAATGATACTGTCACAAAAAATGGCTCGTCATCAAGTAAATATATTTTACCTCAAAATATTAATTATTTGTTTAATTATAAAACTATCATGTTAAATGAAATAATCTCTTTGTGCTCGTAGCATCTGATTTACAAGAGCATCTTCTTATTGGAAAAAAAGCAGAAATTCCATTACTTCGTAATAGTTTTGAACCAAATCAGCAAAAGATCATATCACCAGGAGCAAGTATTAGGTCTCGACCACAAAGTTTTGCTCAAAAATTACGCAGTACAGGGAAAAGCGTAAAAGGCTACATTAATTTAAGCGAAGGCGTTATTACACCTAGTTTTGGAGCGAGTCCTAGTGGATCGGGTCTTGATAAATTTAGCATATTATCGGATAAATGCAAAGATACTGTCAATTTAATACCCAGATGTTGGAAAACCATCTATTACCTCTTAGATCTATATGCGACACGTCCAGAAACAAAGACTATTACTCATCGATTTTCCATTCCCGCGGATGCGGCTGAACATTACAAAACTAATAAGAAGTACGAAGTTTTGAACGAAACGAAAGATGTAGATATTGAAAAAGGTTTAAACGTAGAGAATAGTTCTACACCAATACCACCTCCAAGGGAATTAAGTAAGTATTATATTTATAGCTAACTAAGTAAATTTATACATATCGTCATTTAAATTACATATTATTGCATAGGTATTGTAACAGGTGAAAGGACTAGGTTAATTATTTTTGGAGTTGCAAGAATACATAGAACTCGACTTTTAGCTACATTAAGTGGCTTAAAACTAGAAGCTGAAATTACAAGTTTACAAGCAAGTTTAACATGCCGTAAGAAAACTCGACCTGCTAGTTTGGAGTGTAGTTTGACAGGACAGATTGGCAGAACTATGATCGTTTTACTGGAAGGTGTAGCACCTAGTCAACAAACTGTTGTCAAAATTACTGTCGGAAAATCACAAGCTTTGTACTCTAGCATCACTAGACGTCAGAAAGACAAGAACAGTGGTTTAGTAACTGTTGGAGCTGTTAATATAGATATACCGCAGCATCCTGTTGCTCTGCATGGAATGATGACTAGAGGTAGTAAACAGTTATCATCTACTTTACAGGTAAGATTCAAAATATATCCATTTCTATGTTTTGTACATGTATAATTAATAATTTCGGTATAATATAGAATATTTCTAAGCACTTTTTATTTTTTCAATTAAATAGGAATTAAGAGTTACAAGAACATCTTCAAGAATGTCGAGAGGACAGCAACCGGATGAATTAGATGCTGGACCAAGTAGTCCACATCATGATGCACCAGCACCTACTATTGATGAAGAAAAATCCCAAGCTATACCTAGTCTTTTGGAACCAATTGTTATGCAATTTCATATTATACTTCAAAGTTTAAGTATAACAGCAGCATTGCTTCCTTCTTTACAAGCGCAATATAAAATGGATCGAGTACACAGTGCAGGTGTAACTGGTAGTAAAGCTAAGTTTACCATAGACCTGCCAAATCATAGTTTAAGTTTTACAACAAAATTACAAGTAACTGAAGCAAATCTACCTTCCGAAGCAAGTATTGAACTTCCTAAAGTACATGTGTCAGCAGAATATATACAAGATGGAAATAGTAGTTTAAACGATAGTAAAATTGCTGGTAAATATCTCACCTTAATATTACTTAATATATAGATGAATATTAATTCAGTTGAATTTAGGTTCATCTATCTATATGTATGATGTTACAGATGGGGTTGTCTTAAGGCAGGGCAGTTATTTGAGTGCCACTGCAGATATTGGTACATTTGAGCATTCTTTAACAACAGATCTATTAAATCATTTAGTATTTGTACAAAAAGTATTTATGAAGGAAGTTAATGAAGTTGTACAAAAAGTATATGGTGGAGAAAAACCAGTTCCACTTTGGCTTGAAGATGACGAATCTACGAATTCAACTTTAAAAAGAATATTATTTTCATTGGTCATTCGTATTAAGGTAAAAGTACAATGCATTATTTACAACTCTCCTTTCAGATATTTATAATATATATTTTTAATTAATAATTTTTATTCTTTTACACACAGAGAATACAATTGACTGCAACAACCCCAACAAATTCCGCAGTTCGTTTAGAAACGGGTACAGTTGAATTTCAATTATCTAACAGAGTACAAAATGTCTCTGGTGCGACTCAACCAAATCCACATATGAAATTATTTGGGAAAGCACAAGTTGATATTAATTTGAGTCTTGGGCAATTACTTAAAAATGCTCTATTTGAAGAAGCGGAACCTGAATTTCAACAATTCGCATTTTTTAATACTAGAGTAGGTTTACGAAATGCGTTTCAAGAAGAAATGGTGCAGGGTGAAGATAAGGAAGTAGTTTTAATAACTCTAAAACGTCCATTAATTTATATACAACCAATGGCTATCGATAAAGCAATACTAGTTTGGTTGAACTATAAAAATGCATATGAATATTGGAACGAAAAACGAGCTAATTTAAATAAAGAAGTGTTAACAGCTACTCAGCAAGTCTTTGAAAAAGTTCCATTTGGTCAATTGACTAGTCAACTTAGTGCACCGCATTTGGGAACATTATTCTTACAATTAACAGTAGACGACATGGGTATTTGTTTACCACTGAATCCCTTACCGCCAAATAATTGGGGATTAAGTAGAGGATTATATGATGGAGAATTAAGGGGTGCAGTTGTTGTTACACTTGAAAATACCAGCATATCAGCATGTAGTAGTGGTAGTTTAGTTAGCAAAGCAAGGTATTACATCTTATATTTCTCTTCAGATTATATATTCATTGTATCCATTTATATATTTATTTTTTGCTTTTTCCTAGGTTTGTAGGATTATGTCTAAGATTTGCAGAAGATTTTGAAACATCTTTAGACGATTGGAAACCAGATATGACTGATAGTAGTATAATGAATTTGTGTGTAGTTTCTGAAGGTACTTACGAAGTATGCAGTAGAACGATTGCACAGAAACAAGATAAATCAGGTAATATATACAACTTTTATATAAAAATTTACAAAGACGATGTTACAATATCATGTATCGTATAAATAAATCTTTTTTAGATAATGCCAAATGGATATTAAATGTTCAATGGCAAATGGAGGGAGTTGATATTCATCTTGATGTTAATGTAGGACGTCAATTATCAGCACTTGGTCACACATTAACAATGCTAACAGGTTTTGAAGAAGATGATATTCATGTCTCAGCTGATTATGATAGTGATGATGCAGATCAACCAGATAATAGTACTAGTCAGGTTAAGAAAAAAGTATGGTTTAATTAATTTTATTTTATTTATTTCCTATTTTTTATGCTCTATCTTGGTTTTTCTGCTCAGGTAACTTAATATACAAGAAGCGTAGTATTTGTTCGTAGTTTTTATCCGCTAAATTATAAATATTTAATAAGATTACATTAAATATAAATATTTTTTACATACATTTTTTTTTTACATATATTAAATAATAACTTTCTATATATTTTTTAGGAGAGTATTTTAATGAAGAAGTCAAAAAATTGGACTGACAGTTTACCTGCATTTGTCTTCGATCCTACTTTAGATGCAAAGAAAAGATCCAAATTAATTGAAAAGGAAATGAACGAACAAGCTAAGATAATAAATGATTTAAGATCATTAGGTGCATCTCATGGTACTATAGAACAAGAAATGAAACGTTTGCATGAATTGGAAGCTATGGTATTTAAGGACTTCAGAAGGTAATGCTATTGTAATGAATGTTAAATTCAAGAGGGAGATGCGTTACATTTATTAATATTTATAGGTTTGTTATTCTTTTTTTGCAGGGATATGATTCAGAAATTACGAAGACAATCGGTTAAGGCATCCGGAATAAAAGGTAAATTAGGTCTTGGGAGTAAAACTAATGCGTATCGTTCAAGATCATTTATTGTACCCTCACCAACACCAGAAAATCAACTTGAGAGTCCAGAAGATATGAATATGGAAATAAATTCGGCAAATTCAGCTAGTTATGAAAGTAGTCCTAGAAGTGGTCCAAGCAGGTGAAATATAGTTCTATACACTATAACATAATGCACGCGTGTACAGTTTCATTTCCCACAGTTTAATCATTAGTATATACACATAATTGTACATATATGATAGGATTCCATTTTCATGCAATTATTGTAGATCTGCTTCTCTTCGTGTTAGAGGACTTAGCGGACAACGAGTTACATTTAGTGATACTCATACAATGTGCAGGTGAATTAAAACTGAATATAATGTTTATTTAAAGGTTAACAATTGTATTTATCTCGATCAGTTATCCTTCATTCTTTGGTTAATGTAGGCAATCATCCTTACCTAGTGCGGGATCAGAGTTCAGTTTACCTGAGGGAGAATTAGAGTGGCCAGAGACCATTGAAATAGAAGGAGAGCAAGTTGAATTAAGAAAAAAAAGTAGAGACACTAGTTGTACATCTAGTTATGATAGTATGGAAGGAAAGTACGTAGAAAAAAGAGAGAGAACATTTTATTTTATATTTATTATAATATATTATATTATATTTATATATATATCTCTTTTCTTTGTGTGTGCTGTATTATTCATCCTAATATATTTTTAATAGTGCACCTTTGCTCGACTCGTTTGGAAAAGAACAAACCTCTTCTACTTCATCGCCATATATAACACCTCAAAAAACTCAAGAACCTAATATAGACTTTGAACTTGATGTAAAAGTATTAATAAACAGCGGCAAGTGTGTTCTCCATACAAAAGATCCAACGAGGGAAGACGAAATTAAGCTGTAAATATTAGCATTAAATTATAGTTTATTAAATTTATATTGTAAATTTATACATGTTTTTAATAGTATGAGTAAAATGAAAAAGGAGAGATCCTGTTCCGGTGGAACGTTTGAATTTCAACCCAGCAGTCCAAGCAGTAGTAGAAAACATTTAAGTAGTAAGGAGAAATCATCAACTACGAGTACATCACGATTACGATATTTACAACACGCGAGTGTACCTTTAGTAGATTTAACAATTTTTCGTATTCCTGGTCTAGATGTGAAGGTAAAAAAAAAGTTTTTAATTTTTTAAATATTCATACACATATATAAATCTATACTTGAACATAAACTAAATGAATATTATTATGTTTGTTTACAGGTTCATTATGAATCGAAAACTCTTCCCGAAGAAACTATGTCTCCGCGTATTACAACAGAAAATACTTTATTAAACCCTACTCCTTCATCTATGCTTCGAAAATCTAGCACTAAAAAAGCTAGTCTGTTTGCTTGGATGACTCTTCAAAGTATTCCAGAAGAAACTATAATAAGTCCTCATATTTTGGAATTTTTCGAACAAACGTTAGAACCAATTCCAAGCAAAAGTAATTTCCAAAATAACACTCAAACAAATTTTAGCTGTCCGTCAGAAAATATAGAAAGTACATCATGGGCAGCGACTGCAGCTAATAGCAATTATGTTTATGCTAGTTTTCCCGTAGACGTCATAGTATATTTTCATATGCAACCATCTACTTTTAGGTATAAAATCATATTTATTATGTGATTATTATTTTTTTAATTATATTTATATTTATATATTTATAATTTAATAATATTGTAAATATTTTTTTATATTTTTTAGATTTTCTTGTCTACCAGTTTCTAGAGTAGAATGTATGTTACAATTACCTTCTCTTGACATAGTGTTCTCTTCAAAACGAGCAGAAGAAGAACTTATTGAATTTAGAGAATATAAATCTCCAGTTACACAAACTACAGGAAAGGAAACAGGTTCGGCTATCGGTGGATTGTCCGTGACAGGATGTCTTGCAGATTTTTCTGTCTATATCTTTCATCCTTATGGAGGTGGCAAGAAAACAGGTTTAAAAGAAGCTCAATGGTCACCTTTATCGGATAGCGAAAGAAAAGATTCTTTAAGCATTAACGTTGAATTTGTGAAATTTCATTTGTCGAGGATTAAAAAATTGAATTACCAAGGTGAACATATAAAAAAAGTTCCAGATGCGAGTAGCCGAGCTGTTATACGGTTTTCGAGTACGTAGATTTTATTTTAAAGAACTTTTATCTATCTTAAATAATACCCCTATCACACTTTATTATATATTTTATTCGTATAATTTACAGCAATCGTTGATATTGGCTCTGCTTCATTCAAATATGATATGCGTCGTTTGACGGAAATTCTTGCATTCCCAAAAGCATGGTACAGACGTAGTATTGTTAGACGTCTATTTCTTGGTGATCTCAGTTCAGGTACAGCATATTCTGAGGGAGATGGAAGTCCGCCATTAAATCAAGAAGAAGCAGTCATGGGTAGTTCGTTATTAAAACATTATGACAGACATGCGGGAGATGGATTATCGAAAAGTGCACCTGAGAGAAGTCCTACATTAAATAGAGATAAATTAAGACTTAGTTTGGAAAGTGATATACCAAGACATGCACGTTTAAAAGGTTCGTTTAATAGCTATTATTCATTTAATACGATCATTCTATAATTACAATATAATACAATACAATAACTATCGATGTACATGTTTCAAAAGATATTGGACGAGGATGGAGTTTTAGCGCAGAAAAAAAAGTAACGTCCGAAGTAAAATTAAGAGAATCAGCATGGGAGACTTTAGTATTATTTGCAGTCAATTTTACTCGTTTGAATGTACATATGAATATGGGTAATGTTATGGGTAACGTTACTTGGATGACCAAAGACTTTAGATCCGATGGAAGATTATCTATAGGTAGCACTGGACATAAAAATTTATATATCGGCATTGGATTGGGCGGTTCCAGTCTAGATGCTAAGGGTGGTATTGTTGGTGGAATTATTGAATTGAGTAAAATTGATACATACAGTTTAGTATATTTTTATTTACGTAATATCAATTTCTTTTTAAATAGAGAAATATATATTAATAAAATATTCTTTTCATGTAGTACACATTAGAGAAGAACCTGGAATAGAACCTGACCATACAGTTGGATTAAAATTATTTGCATTAGAGTTGCGACTCGATTATATGGGAACAAGTGTACTTATGTCTAGAGTATCTTCCTTGGACATTACACTTCGTGACGAATGGAAGATTAATCGTCATAGCAATGGAGATGCATTTATGCCAACTAGAAGGTAATCATATACACATATGCATATATTATTTTATTTTGTTAACAATTACTATTCTATCATTTTAATACTTATAATTAATATTCTAGACCAGCAGTCATTTTTATGCATGGTGATTTGGGCTGGGACCAACTTCAACTTATGATCAGTAAATCGACAACAGCAGATTTATTAAAAATGTTTTACAAGTTAGACGAGTTCTTTAGTCAACAATTTAAAAGCAGTAAACGAGTATTCAGTTCTTTACAACCGAGACATCAAAGAATAAATAATAATAGTATGAGAAAGAGACAACAAAAGAAGAGATCTGCTGCAGATGGTAAAACTTATTGTTAGATATATTCATGTATCCTATTTTTAGATTAAAAGATATATTTTATAATTAAAAATAATCTATATTATAGGACCATGGAATTTAAATCAAACAGCAATATCTGATGCCAGACATCATAGACATTGGCAGCGTGTATTGACTCAAGTAGCTGGCCTTCAATTAGGTAGCTTAAGATTTTCTTTACCATCAACTGGAACTGTTCTTGGAGGTACAATGGAATTACATGGGTCAAATATTAGTTTGGCCTGTTTTCATGGTATTAATTTCAAAAGCAAAAGTTGGGCGTTATTCTCATTGAAGGAGCCGTGTATCAGTTTTGCTACAGAGGCTCAAGAAATTCCAAGCGTAGAATGTATGTTCAGTAGATTATGCGTATATAAAACTAATATCCAATATATCCAATACTTCATTAATTATTTCTCTTTTAGTACCAAATACATGCGATGTACATGTTGTTCAAACTTTGACTATTAGCTTAGGACAACAGCAAGAACAACACGCGAGACATCACTCTATGGCTACAGTTTGCAGACTAAGTCGTAGCGTGCTATTTCCTCCGCAATTTAAATCTTTACAAGAATGGTTTCACTATGCTTTTGCAAGCAGTGAAATTGATGGTAAGCTGTAAAATATATATATGTATGCATGTGAAATATGTTGATCATATTTTCCTAATAATGATATCATGTATTGTTATATAGCAGTAGACAGATTTCCATGCGTTGAGAAAGATAGAGCAGAAACTACGGTTGATAATAATAATCCAACAACTCGAGGAAGAAGTACATCAACTACTTCAGGAAAATTGCAGGAGCATTCTCATACAAGAGAAGTGATATTTGCGCTTCCTTCATTGCAGTTACATTTAAAAACTGAACATTTACAGACCGCCCGTACTCCAGATGTTATAGGTATAACCATTTTTTTTTTGTATGTTAATTGTGTTAAAAACTTTAATAATAATATAAACATTTTTATATTATGTGTCTTATATATACACGTGTGTATATATGTAGTTGTATAGAAATTGATACCAAATTATATTGATCTTTTACTGCCTCTCTTACGAAATAATTTATTAAAAACTATTCTCTCTTTTTTAAATAATTTGAATTTCTTAAAAAAATTACTTATCTTTATATTATATTTTGCAATATTCTTCTTCTCATAATTTTTTAGGACTTCCTAAGCATATTTTATATAGTAAGTATACAGTAAAACTTTATTCTCAATATAGCCAAAAGCGGAGAGTTTATATATAATAATATCTGTATATGTAGTGTATACTCTTAGAGTTCTAGTCTGCTTCTAATATACAAAAAATATCCCTTAGTTATATTTCATTGAATCAAATTTATCGAGCATGTTATCTACAAAACTGATACATAAATGCATTAAACATAAAAAGTATACATTTCAAGGAATTCTTCTTTTACAATAGGTAATCCAATTCGCATGTAGTGAATTAAGCTCTTACAATAATATAATAAATTGTAACAAATATTAAATGCCACAAACATACATGTAGTGATTAGATATTTATTCATTTTTAATTGTTTATTCCAACCAAACATTAATTGATACATATTAATATCATGAATAATATTAATCATAATTGAATTAAACGAAAATGTTGGGATAAGCGTCCTTTTATGTTAGAATTGATATCTTTTATAAAACGCCTTTCATAAATTCACGATTAAAACTTTGTAAAAGTTTGTGCATATTGATTATTAATTATTATTTATTCATTAGGTGAGAAGCCGTTAGTGGAATGCAGCTTCATTACAGAATTTGAAGATCATATTTTTGTTACTGTTGATGCAGAGGGATTCTTCTTTCTACATGATCTTATTACGTCATATGTAAAGGAAAAAGAACGAGTGGTAAAGATTCTTTTCATATGTAAATTAATTATGTTCATAATTACACATATTTTATTAAATTATTTTTTAGCATACTATGCAAACCATAAATGCACGCGCACATAGTCCAGATCCCCAAGAAAAAGAAAGTACAAGTGCTAGTACAAGTGCGACTAGTGTTCCTACATCCACAACTATTACGATGGAAGATGAAAGAAAACGCAAACAATTTGATCCAGCAGAGATGTTTATTAAAGATTGGCGATCGTATAGATGTAAAACGTGGCATTTAGAACCTACTGTTAGGTAAGAAATATATAATATACAATATATACAAAAATAATATTAATTATATATTATAGAATAATATTAAATATTTTTATATTTATATACCAAGGTTACTTTCATGGGCTGGGAAAAGTATAATAGAACCATATGGTATAGATTACATTCTTCAAAAATTAGGATTTTCTCATGCACGTACTACAATACCTAAATGGATCCAAAGAGGATTTATGGATCCACTGGATAAATTGCTTACTGTTCTTATGTTAAGAATGGTATTAGCTGTACGCGAAGAACCATTAGATGAACAAAAGGAATATAAAAGGGATAAATAATTTGTCACTTTTTCGTTGCGCTTCTTTTCTCTGTGACTTTTACGAATATATATCAAATTCACGTGATCTCTATTTATTTCTAACAGTCCATAAAATAAAGTAATGATTCGTTGCTACAACTGCAGTGACAGTGCGTAGCAGGAACTTTTTAATGAACTGAGATAATAAAAATTTAGAATACTAAAATTTTTTTTTTATCTTTCTCTCTGTAAAGCAATAACACATCGTTATGCAAAACAGTTTTTGCTTTCCTTTACTTTGTGGAAAGAAATACAACATTAATATTCTAATTAATGAAGAAAACGAACCATAGTGGTTGTAATAATCGTTCTTGATATAAGAACTTTGATCTTGTACATGTAAAGCTGATATATTTCAGATGTATATGATATGATATGATATAATATGGTGTGTTTCAATAGGGATTTGTAAGAATATCTGAAGGCATAATAAGAGATGTAACCAAACACAATTGTACATTAAATAAATTATAGTAGCTATTAAATTACATTTCTATTAAGAAATATGAAATTATATCAGTGAGTATACATAAATCAGCACCAGTAATATAATTATATATATATATATATATATATATATATACACACATGTACATTTATATGTCGTGTATTAAAGAGACGCTGCAACATATGTATCTTGATTATCAATTTGTTTAGCATTTTGTTCAGAAATAATACACACTCGTATATATAAAACTACGCGTGTAATATAATTCAAATTTATTCTTTATTATATACAAAAAGATAGTACCGCTAATATTGAGCATCGACACATATTTCGTATATATATATATATAATCTAAAGATCACAAAAAAATGCTTCTTATATACAAATAGAGACAACTTATATTTCAAATAGGAAATGTTTATCTAAAAATGCAAAGATATTTTTAAAAGATTATTAAATGTTGCAGCAGCAATAATAATTTGTTAAATACTGGTGCATTTTCCTATATGTGTGTGTGATACTTTACTGTTAATATTTTATAGTTAGGAAAATTTTTATTTATGAAAAGCATCTTTTTCTGTTTTTTTTGTTCTTTTTATATGAATATAAATTCTAGCTGACATATGAATATTTTTAATTTACAGACTACTATAGGTGTATAAATTATTATTATGCTTGATTTATTTGTAATATGTGATATAGGATAATCTTTAAAAGGGAAATTATTAATTAGATATATGTACCAACGAAAAATGTCATTTAAGCTAGATTTTTCATAAACTTGTCCAAGTTATAGCAGTATTTGTATACCTGTGTCATAGTTATTAAATGGAAAGTATTAAACCGAGATATTAAGCGAATAAAAGAATACTAGTTGAATTTAAACAGTTGTCTGCAATTATCTCTGTCCAAAAGAATTATCTGTAAAATGCTAACATATTCAAATCGCGATATAATAAAATTTAATTGTTTATACCAAAAATTCACGATCATTTAGGAAAGTATTATAAGACCAAGTTGTGTTTATTTTTTCTCAATTTAGTATGTGTGGTGTAAATATTATATTGGATTTATAAGATACGGAGACATACTTTTTTATTACTATATGTGTATGCGTATGTATATCTATACAGATTTCTTATAATATTAATTCTGCTATATATTAGTATTTTTTCTTTAAAAAATAAAATCATCTTATATATATATAGCGTGCAAGTAAAAGACTTACATAATTATAACTATCTCCACACACACACACACAATAAGTTACATAAATAATAATTCTATAAGTATTTTGTATTTATTTATACTTTATTGTAAATAATGATGCATCTTATTTATATGTAAGATTTTGTGAATTAGTGGCAGCTTATATAGAGTAAATCATTTTTCTTGGCTATTTTACAAAAGTCTTTCATTCTTTATTTAAATGTATATTTACTTTATATATTTAATTATGAAGAGCATTATATGTAATCTAATTGAATAAATCTATCTAATTAAATATATATATCTGCAAACATACATATACACAACTCCTATTATAAATATATGTAATCTATTTTTTCTGTTATTAGAAAATTTACATTTGAATAACTATTTCTACGAAAACCTCAACAGCAGAAAAAAATGAATAAGTACTCTTAATTGCTTACTAATTCCTCAATCAAAATCCATAATTGCTCGCTTTATTAATTAATTATTTAATTAGTTATTAATAATTGAAAATACTACAAAAACGTTTTTTCTCATTTCTAAGCTAAGCAATGAAGTTTTCTATTGTTTTTTGTTTTCAATCAATTGCTCACTTTTTGTTTGTCCGGCTCCTCAACTTTTATATTAATTATGTTTAATTAATTAATTTATTAATTTGTTTAATTACGTTATGTTCGTTATAATGACTATGTTTAAATCATTAAACTCTAAATATAACGTAAATCCAAATTTGTTCAATAATCTTTAATTTTTTTAGGCTTTTATACAATATGGAATTACTGTATAAAAATAATATTTGGATCACTCTTGAAAATATAATATAAAATTAAAGAGCACTATCTTCCAATGAATTGTGTATGCCGTTGCTATCATCTTCAATCATTTCCTGTAAATAAAACATAATATATATTTATATATATATGTACATCATCATTATCAAAATCATTCGTTAATAACTAATTGCAATAAATTTTCCTTTCACTTACTTGTAATACTTCAACTAATGCCCGTGTTTCGTTCAACATTTCGTTACACAAACGATTTTCTTCTTGCAATGATGCTATTCGTTCGTGTAATGTTTTATTTTCATCTAGCACGTCATGAAGTGCTATTCGTCGTCTTTCTGCTAGTACTTGCCAATAATTCTCGCTTGGACCAGCTGCAATACAAAAACACATTATCAATTTAATTAGAGATCTGTGTAACTTCTTCATTCGATATATATTTATTGCGAACACAATTTAATATATACCTTCAGAGGTTAAATCTTCTATTTCGATTTGAATCTGTTCTCCTCTACTTGTTTGAACTGCCTTATTTTTACAAATAACTTTTTTGTGTTTTTGTTTTGTTATTTTTGGTTTCTCCGTTGTGCTTTCAATATCTCTGTTGTACAAAATCATACAATAATATTATTTCTTGTGGAATACATTTATCTAATATACAATACAAATAAAGTAAATATATTTTCAATACTTCTTTAAGGCATCTTTGATCGATGAATCTGTTTTGAGGGTTCTTCCACCACCAACTAGATTTTCCTTGTCCATAGCTGTTGGTTGCAAATCGTGTAAAGATTCTCTAACTTTAGCCTGTGTAAGTAAAATAAAATAAATAGTTTTACACCATCTCCTTTGATTGTACAAGGAAATGATTAATTATCTACTCTTCTACTAAAACATGTTATTTTTGACGATGACATTTTTTCAGTAATGTTTTAATCAACAAACAATTTTTTAAAATATTTTTACTAAAATTCGTTTATGTTATAATTTAAATTGAACTAACTGCCATTAAGAATGAACTTTAATCAAATGTTGTGTGTTGTTTTTAAAATGTATTTTAATATATATATTTAAAATATATTTCTTTTCTATAGAATTGTACTTATATATAATGAAAACATTTAACAATTAAACTTTTTTATACTTCAATGATAAAATTTATTCATGACATTTTTGAATTAATGGAAAAAAATAGAATAAACAATATTTACATTAACCTCTGGTGTGGTAGTTTTGGCGCCAGAAACTTTTGGATCACTTGTAGGTTTCATGATTCGAAAATATATATAAAATTAACTTTATGTTTCAAAAGAATAATATTCGAACTATTTATATATAGTATTTTATTTTATGAAAAATAAATTAAATACGACGATATATTTTATCCGATACTCCTCGGATATATATCCACAGTTCACATGTAATACAAATTTTGGTCAAATATTTGACCCTTTATAGACTTATCACAACCGTCTAGAAACCGTAATTCAAGCTACCAAGGTACAAATAATAATAAAATCAACAGTTACACTTATAAAACATAAAAAACAAGACGGATTATAGAAATACTTTTTATATAATAAATAAAGTACTATTTTCGTATTTTGTTAAAGATTTTTTTTTTTATTTACAATTTTAATGAATAAAAAAAATTTGAAAGTAAAAATAATGACGGTTGGCTATTCTGAACTATGAAAATATTCCTAGGCTGTAGTAATTGATGCGTCATCTATAGACTCAGTTTTAAAGCGCAATTTTCGTATATAAACAGTATTACAGAGTATTAGGTATTTAATTTGACAATGAGTTTTAAGAAATAGTCCCTATTCATTTTTCTAGGAAAGTTTGAGTAATCATTTATCGTTAGAAAGTACATCTAATAAAAATTCCTAACTTGGTATAAACCTTATATATTTAGTTATTTCCCTTCTTATCAAATTTCAAACAGTGATCAGATTTTTTCTAATAAGATATTTTATAAGATAAAGTATCTTTGTGAATTATTGGACTAACTTAAAAGTCATAGGTTTAAATATTATCGAAAAATAAACAGCAAAATTACGAAAGTGCTCGTAAATAAAATATCTTATCGTATTTCATTTTAGAGTGCCTTTATTTATATAGAGTTATGCAAATGTAAAGTGTTAATGTGTTATATACTGTTCTTCATTTTCACAAAAAATACATGGATATCTATGCATTTTCTCTATATTTCTTTCGTATATATATATATATATTTTTATTATTATACTACGGTTAAATAGAGATAGAATAAAAATATTTACCTAGATTACTATATCATTACATTTGTATATGTTTGTGTGAATATTATATATAATTATTGTGTGCATAATAATCTAATAATTACTTAAATATTGAGTTATCATTATACCTTACATAATATAATATATTTACAAATACTTATTTATATCACTTAACAAAAAGAAATAAAATAATTTCCTTAATAACAAATCGAAGTGCATATTTATTTGCACTTTTTAAAGTTACATATTTTTGTTATTAATCAAAATGTAAAATCGAACTATTTTATGATTGTATTTATTCGTTAATAAGATATTAAAAGAAAATAGTTTTTCTTTATAATATATAGATAAATATATATATTAATAAAATGAGTAGTCATTGAGAAAACAAAGACACGTCGATTTGTTAATTACAAAAGATGTACATATATGTTACGAGCAATATATTACTGCGGGCATTCTATAGAATGTCCGCAAAATATACATTGCCTGTAACATATATACGTTAACGTAAATTAAGCTGTTTAGATAATATTGTTTTTATATATATTTATCATACATAACTTTATACTTATATATATATTATATTATTATAATATAATAAAATGTAACATAATTAAAATACAAAATGATAACGAAACAAATATAAGTGGTATAAAAGAGTTTAGAACGTAAAATTACAGAAATATATGTGTATGTATAGGTATCTATCGAATGTATCGATATAAATATCGAGTCACTTGTAACAATGATTTACGAAGAATTTAAATTGAATTTGTTCGTGTATACTGTTTATATTCTTATTGCATATGTTTTTACGTTACATATGCATTATTCTCTTTTTTAAAAATCACTTACGAGTTTTGTTAATCTTATCATATATGATTTGTACCCTGTTAATTATTTACTAATGTGTCAAACATAATTTAAACTTATATAATGAATGAGTGCTTACTATTCAATTGTAATAGAATAATGATATTGTTTTTTTTTCTTTTTTAATTTTAAGGCAAGTAAGATACAATAAAAAATGTTTATACTATATTTTATCCTAAAAGCACACAGTCGATGATAATTGTACAATAATATGTTCTCTTTTATACAATTTATGTATATGACGATATATAGATAGATAATATTTCTTATTACTTTAAAATTATATTCATTTTTTCTCGTTTACTACAATTCATCACAAGTTTGTGCACGCGAGTCTCTATTGCATTGGTATTCTCATATAAACCATAACTTTTATCATACAGAGTGAAATACCTAACAAATACTCTAATTAACTTCTAAATTATGTATGATATAAAAAATCATATAACTTTCTCTTTTTAATACACAACTTTTATACGATACAAAATAATTTAGAAGTTATTTACAGCGAGCATGCAATTGTCTCATTCTGTATTATGCATACGTATTTGCCCCCCAAAAGTAAAAATATGTGGACGGCAGTAAGTGATACAATGCACATAACTTTTTTTCTCGTGCTGCTTTATTATTTAATTAGAAATAAGCAATAAAAAATAGAAATAAAAATTTTAATTTAAAAAAAATACTGATCATAATGAAAAAATTTAGCAAATAATGTTTTTTTATTTTGATAATTAATGTTTTAGGTATATATATATATACTGGCTTAAAAAAGAAAATGTTTTTAAATCATATCTTTTACTATTTTCTTTGTTCTTTCGTTTGTCTACAATAAGACACAGGTGTAGCATATATTAATAAATACATTTAATTAAAGCCCAATGTTTCTAAGACAAAATTAGGATCACGTATGAATGCATTACTAATTGTAAGTATCTTAAAATAATTTGTTTTAGAAACAAATTTTTATTACATATATTGTTTCTAGGAACTTGAAATCCTATAATATCAAAAGTATTTGATAATGATGATATTGAATATAAGTGTGTAATTAATAATAAATAATGATATTATATGACAAAATTTGTCCTTCGTTAGTAATGCATAATTGCAAAGGAGTATTGACCAAAACAATTAACATTTAACATGATATGATTTTACAATCGCGCTTAATATATTAGAAAGATAACTAAATATATGTAATATCAAATTAATATTATACATAAATATTAATGCAAGAATTTTCTTTCCGTAATATTTATAAATTAAAACTTTCATTTTTTTAGCATACATTCATCACTTATCATCCAACTTCTATTAGATTAAAATTAAAAGTTTTGAACAATTATATTTCACTGTGACAATGATATCTGACACATCTGTTATAGATCGTTATGAAAATATATAAAATATATCACTACTTATAAAATACTATGTGCAAATTGTTCCAAAATTTTATGCCATTTATTAAATATTTGTTTAAACTTTTAATATGAGAGAGAGAAAGAGAGAGAGAGAGAGAGAGAGAGAGAGAGAGAGAGAGAGAGAGAAAGAGAGAGAGAGAGAGGAGATAAAAAAAAGAATTATAGAGTATGCTAAGGCACGGGAGAGATTTACAATCAGATTTATTGTAAATATTATCACTTACTGTTGAGATTGATTTTAAATTGTACACCGAAATTGTGTGTCACTCTTTCTAGATCAAGTAAAACATATCAATGTGTAACCAAATTATTCATTGCAGTCTCGATAAAAGTGCAATGTGAATTCTAGATAATCAACACCATGTTGATTCTTACAAATATTCTGTAACAGAAAAAAAAAAGTTAAAGTATTATCATTAGGAAAAACATCTCACTTTGAAATTATTTTGAAATAAACTTACTTCTTGAGGTTGTACAGTGGGTACACGAAATTTTAACGTTTTCCTGAGATAATGTGCTACATCTAAAGGAAAAGATTGATCGCCTGGTTGATTATTATTTTCAATATACTGTGTTTGTTGTTGTTGTAAAGTATAAGTCCAACCACATATCATCGTCTCGTCAATAGAAGTTGAAGATACAGGACATTGTTGCACCGTTTGCCAGAACCAAGGCATACCGCTATAAAGTATATACAGATCAATTATTAAATTAATCTTAAAGATATAGAAGAATGAAAATAATATTTTTTATTACAATACATACAGGAAATGTAATGTAAGATGCATATCGGGCATATGTTTAGATAGCGGTATAATACAACTTATATTGTTGGGAGTATTTGGTGACGCGGCTGAGCAATATCGTTGATCTAAGGAGACATTAAAGCTTTTGGCAACAATAAACAATTGGGGTTTAGGTTCAGGTGGTAAAGAGCCTGCAGCGTTACTAGCTACTTCTCCCCAATCTGCACCAACAGTTTCTCGTTTTGTCCTTTTATGGAGATATTTGTAATTGTTCTAGAAAAAAAGAATATCATAATAATATATATTTATTATATTTCAATAGCAAGACTTTTGTGGGAAGAAAAACATATTATAGAAAAACATTGTTCTGTATATAATGAGCTACCTCTTTTACGAGAGTTTGTGTGCTAGGATCAGATGGATTAATGCCATTTTGAAAACCTTTGCTTACTTTACGCTTCTCTTCGTGGATATTTAAAGGTTGCTCCAGATGATCTGCTAAAAAAAAATCAAATGATAAATGTAAGAATAAAATCTATTCACAATTTGTATTATTTAAAGTATATATATCATAAAATTAAACTTACAAATAGATTTTTTCTCTGGTGGATGATCGGGTTGCGGATCTTCCAATTGATGAATTTCAGCTGAGCAACAGTAAACCTAAATATAAAATATATTTTATATAAATATCATATCTTTGTAATTTTAGGAAGAAAGAAATTTATTTATATAGAATTCTACCTGACATGGACTTTCGAGTTCACTAAAATGTGCAGGGCAATCATTTGGCCTTCCTAAAGGAATTGGATCTTTGTTCGAAGATGTTGCATCAACGTCTGTTCCTTGATCATTTTCATCTACGTTACTAGGAATAGCACCTGCGCCGTTTTTACTCAACCAGTTCCCAGGAAATTCGCTGTAATTATATTTCTCTCATTAAAAATATATTTTCGATAATACATCAAGCGTAAATAATTTAACATACTTATTTTTATCGAGTTTTGGTTGTGGCCCCGAATGATTTATCGGGTACCACGAAGTTATTTCTTGAGAATATAATTGCTGTTTCGTATTAGGCGATTGTGTTGTTAAAGAATTACTTTTTAAAGGTAATCCACCGTCCAATCCTCTCGTATATGGACCATGTTTTGTGAATAAAGAAGATATTGTACTATGTAATAAAGAATTCAATCTAGGATCATATGTTGGAGTTGTTGATAACATGGTTGGATGAACAGGTTTCACAGCAACCATATCTTTACTTGCCATTGTAGACAATTCAAGGCTACTACGTTTTTGATACTCCAGAAAGTATAATGTTGCCATTGCAACCAGACTATAACGTATAATAATCGTAAGTTTGTAAATAATTTAAAAGTTATAATATGCAAAGATAATAATAATTACCAAAATGCCATGATCAGTATAAGTATAACGATAATAATTTGTATAAATTTATTACTGCATAGAAGTTCGTCCTCTCTTTCAATCCTTTTTGTTTTACCAAGAATAGACGATTTATTATTAGTAGGCGATGAATATTTATTACTCGAAATACTAGACACCGTACTAACGGAACTTTTAAGACTGTCGCCTCTTTTTAATTTAGCAAGGCGTTTGTTTATTCTTTCTAGTTGATCTATTCTAGTTTCCAAACTGTCTGTTACCTAAAAAAAAAAGAAAATAAATAATGATAAATATATTGACATTATATCAAATTCAATTCTTTAACAAATACAATCTAAAAAAATGTGAGAACATACTTTGCAAAGTTCTTTTACAGCTCCTACATTTTCCATGAATATTCGTTCTTTATTAACGACCAAAAAATTTTCAATCCTTTGGCCATTGGGAAGAACAATATCACCAGCTGGAAGTACAGCTTCCGGTAAAATTTGTTGTACCTCTTGAGCTATTACACCTGTATCTTCTTGCGGTTTTATTCCCAAACCTGAATGCAAGGCAAATTCTGGAGCATATCGATATCTTACTACGCGAAGCTGTTGTACATTTCTTAGTTGTTCCCGTGTATCTACTTCTTGAACATTTTGTTTAGCTCTTGCATCACTTGGTTGAACAATATGACCAGTAATCTACGATTACATACATATATACGTTACTACGTATCTACGTACTCTTTTGAGAATTACTCATTATTTTACTATTGTTATATCATAGAGACGATGATTTTAGAAATTACCTTCATATTGCCATGAATTACAAGAGCTTCGTCTGGTCTATCCGTGTTAATGCCAACTCGGCCTGCATGATAAACGCTATCAGATGCTGCACCTCTTTGCCATCCCCCTTCAGCTCCAACGCCACTACCCTCAGATTCAAATTGTCCTGGATTACTTGCCTGTACAAAATGTTGCTGGTTCTATAGAACGTTCTGTCCTTTAATATGTTATATTTTTACAAAAAAAAAAAAAAAGAGGAAAAAAAAAGAAAAGAGAATGGAAAGAACTTGGAAACAAAACTGGTAATCATTTTGTTAAAACAATATTATCTTACCCTAACGATTATTCTTTCGGAAGCATGTGCCACGACTTGATAAGTAGCTTGATCCGCTGTATGAGCATGGAGACCAACAACCAAATGAAAATATCTTTGATCTGGGTTTGGCTTTCCTTTCTTACGCATATTATTACTCGTTGTTTCACTAAAATGTAAGCGGCCGACTGTTACTTTCGTAACACGTTCGCCGCCTAAATCCACCCTGGAAACAACGCTATTTTAGTGTAACATAGAGAAATGCTATTTACAAAGAACACATTATATTAATTGTACACGAGGTGCTTTCAATTAATTTTATTTTTTAAAAATTATTCGTTAAAAATGTTGAGAAAAGTTTCAGGCTTCTAGTATAAGTAATTTCTTGGAAAAAATATGGAAAATTTAGAACTTGAATGCATATCTCGTATTATTTACAATTAGTAATTAATCTTATTTCATTTATTATACTCACGTAACAGGATGAAAAGGTTTCTTGCTTCTATCGCTTTGACTTTGTTCTACTCTGATCGTTTGCGTCGGCGATTCAACTTTAACTCCATAAAAATGTAACTGAAAGCTATTTATTTTTTTCAGACCTTCACCAGTTCGAACAAATACAGCCTCTCCTTGAAGTTGAGCATGGCAAGTGATCTAGAAAAAAGAATACGACGAACAATCGGTATGGGTATCCAATATGCATATTTTAACATTGTCAACAATTCTTACTTGAAAATGATTTTTCTTTTGGCAAACAAAAGCATCATCAGAATTACTGAAATTAAATCCCTTATCTGCATCGACTCTGTAATGCGGTACAGGAAGTTCTTTTAGATTATGATCGCAAAGTACGTGCCAAGAAGTTTGTTGAAAAGGATGAAATCGAATACATTGATAACTAGGATCAATGTAATTGCTGTCAGCAACTTCGTCACCATCGAGAACAGCACTACTACTGCTGCAACTATGTTCCACCGTTCCCAGTTCCGGTTCCTTATGCGAAGACCATACGAAGAGTACAAAATGTGATTGATGGAAAAGAGGAAGCGCAGGCATTAAAAAAAACAACTATTTGACGATTACTATATTATAAGGTAGATATTTACCTGTTTGACGTGGACGAGTCCATCCTGACTAAGTTTTCTCTTTTTAGGTGCTGACTGAAGAGACGAATACAAGGTGTTAATACCATCGTTAGCATGTTCGTGCGACAACGGTACTAAGGGTGGTGCAATTTGTTGTTGCGTCGACAAGTTCGTCGTTCCTGACGTAAGATGAGGAGTTAAGACCGGATGTGTCAACAACAAGGAATCGGTAGACGTAGCCAATGTTCTTGGTGAGGATGGTAACAAATTGCCTGGATAATTGGATGTACTACCTTGGTGATGTAAAAGTATTTCTTGTAAGGCTGCCTTTTGATCTGAGATATATGATAAATTTTCATCAAAATTAGATTTTATCTCAATAATAACCGTTATAAATAATAATGAAATAACAGAAATACACAAAAAGCATCTTACGTGGCGAGTGAGCGTGTTGAGGATCATGATGTCCAGGTGGAGAATATGGTGGTTCGCTTCCACTGTCCGGTGGACTTTCTGGCAACGGATGTCTACCATATACCATAATCAAGCAGTGTTACAAGAGGTATATTAATTAGAAAATACATGATGTGTGTGTGTTCATTTTAAATGATCAAAAGATGCATAATTGTCGTCAACTTACGGATGAACGTACGATTGTGGATCTTTGTAGGTGGTACCATTTGGGACGGTGGTAGTGGTGGTACCAGAGGAACATGCGTTTGACACAGCATGGTTGTGAACGATTGGTGAAGGTAAACGTTGCGGTGTTTGTTGACTACCCGTTGCTTCAATTCGATCACCATGATTCGTCGGTCCACTTCCGTTTTCTTCTGCTGCGAGAGTGTCCGCGAAATATCTGAATAGAAGAAATAACAAAGAAAAAGATAAGTGTATTATTTTTTTTTGTTTTAATTATATTTTAAATAAGTCAAACATATACAACAAACGTATTTTTAATGTCCATTATTTTTCTTCATTCTTATTTACTTTTTTAGACTTCTTAGAAGTCTACTACTCTATGTGATAATGTAATTAGAGTCTAGTTAAAGCGGAAAGAATAATTTACTGTATAGTTTTCATAAATTAAACGCGATATTTATAAAAGTAGATGTATACATGAATGCGAACGGTGCAATGGATATGCGGAATTTATAAAACATGAGATATCGTTATCATTTGCCTCGTTACAAGGCGAAATACCGAACTGGCATTTTAGCATTGCCATGATTTGGGTTCGTTTCTTTATAATTTGTAAGTATAAAATACAGATATTTTCAAGTTTTTCTTCTTTACTCGATTTTACTTGTATTAGAATCATAGTATTTTTGTATTCGTGTATTTACCTATAATGTTCTCATATTCTAATTAGAATCTTTCTAAGTTTCTTTATTTGTATTCCACTTGCGTTAAAGATGAGTATGTAATATATTGATTTATTAATTTGCTAATACTTGTTTTTTTTTTTTTTTTTAATTTGAAGAATATTTTCTAAAGAAAGATAATATTATAGTCGATGTAAAGAATATTGTTGAAACCTTTTAATGCTAGAAGCACACAACACACAGTGAATTACCAAGCCTAACTCAGCATGCAGTGATTCCATCAATTCTATCCAGTCTGTCACTGTCATTATATCATTATACCTCTCTGCGATCGTTACTACACGATATCTGTCTGCTCGATATAAATGTATCTGTCTGTAGAGAAGAGTTTATGCGTTAGCAAACGAGCCAATCCAATGTTCTCTTCTATCTATCTCGTCTACAACATGAATTCAATTTTATTTCGAAAGGAAACACATAGACGAACATTAAAAAATATTAATAAAAACTGTCGATTTCAACTATCTTCCTCTTTAAATCTCGACTCTAGACAATATGCAATACCTAACATTTGACGATGAATTGTGGCACGTGCTGGAACAGCGGTAGCATGGATCGTGTCGAGACCGTTCAATTTAAAGATTTAACGTGATATGCGTATGTCGACGACAGGAAACGCGTGCTCATTACTTCGAATAATAAGAGCATATTGTATTTGAATTTGTTAGTCCTTTGCGTGGATATCAATTATTATTGAAAATTAACGCGAATTCTTTTTTTTTAATTGCACAATTTTTATAAAGTTTTTTAAAATTAGAATATCAGTTTGATGACAAAATTTAATAAGGGTGAACAAAATATATTGTACGTATATACCAGAGCCATATTTTCTCGTTAAAATGAAAAATAAAAAAAAATAAAGAGATTTGCGAGCTTAACAAAAGTAGCTCTCATAAATACGTATATATATGTGTATGTATGATGATGTATATATATATGTTGAGACAAAACACAATAGCCTTGTTCTCTCGTCGAGTTTGCAACGCACATTGTACACGTGCTCGTACACGCGGGACGTAGGCGTTAACGATGGCTTCCCACCAAAGTTAAATTCACTCGTTAATCTGTATGAGAGATGGTAGCAGGAGGAGCTTTTTAAATTAGTTGCTTCTTTAACAAAAATACAGTTGCTTAAAACAAAAAAACCTTTGCGCGCGCACGCACACACACACACATATATACACGTGCATAGAATCGAACTCATCGATGATTTTCTTTCGAAATACAAAAATCAAACATTTACGAAATCAAAAAGAAAAACTCACGTAGCTGGTTGTTCGCTGTCGCTGTTAATGAAATCCTCCAACTGCGAAAAGTCAAAGGCTTCGTTGTCAATTCCTCCAACGAAGTCACCTCGACCTAAAAAAAAGACCAAAAAAAAGAAATTCGCATTTTTTTATTGGCATTGTACATCGCTCGTTCAATGTTTATAAAGAACTTTGTCGTTGTGTGCTATCGTTATTTCTTAACGTTTTACATCGTTTATCATTTTTTAACTTTTCTTTTTTTCATTAAAAATATTCGAATTTGATATTAAATACTTACATTACTCAAAAAAAAAAGTTACACAGCTGTTTACAATCGCAATGTCGAAGAAAAGTAAATAAAATCTATACCATAAATTTACGATATTTATTCTAACTAGATGACAAAACCAGTATACGATTAACGGGAATGTGTGAATGCATTATTATGAGAATTAGATAATAAGAAGAACATCTATATAACGAGAAACAAGACGTGATATATTTGACTTAAGTCTCTTAACAAGAATCTATTGGTTGGTGGTTACCTTTTTAATCTATTTTACAACATAATCGAGAAAGCGTCGAGTATACGGACAAAATCACGTTGTCTATCATCTTGATAATTCGTTCAAGAGACTAGACAAGTTTAGAGAACAGTTTAGATGTAAGAAACAAAACGAGAAAGTAGAGAGATTTATTGGTTCGAGGAGAAATGATTTCTTGGGCTATTGAATTTCGAAGATGATATCATGCTCGAGTGAACAGTATATTGTTGATACACTTGCGGAATACATACTTGTTTTCTTTTAACGATCAATTCTTTCAATAAAATTTTAAGAAAGTACAATTTAATATTTTGATCGTTATACAGGGTAGGCCTAAAGTTCCTAAATAATTTTAATAATCATTTACTCTCTTTTTTTTGGACACGTAATAAAGAAATTGAGACATGTATATATATATATAATGACATACATATCTCGGATATTCTTAAAAGCATTTAATCCAACAACTCAAGTGTCATAACTCGATGCTTCCGGTCTCTGTCATATAAGTTATATAGCGTTAACCAAACGTTAAAGCGCCTTTAAGACTTCGCAGAAATCATCATAGCAAGCAGCATTTACACTATAAAATCCTTTCCATTGATATCTAGATGTAACGTTATCATTTTTAATCGAGCCAGGTAAAACGTCATCCCACGTCCCATTGACATTTAATACCTTGTAAACATCAACATTTTACATATAATCGATGCGAATAAACATGAGCTTAGTTAGCAATTTAAAAGACTATTGTATCTTGAGGAGTAAAATAGGCAGATCATCTCTCTTGTATAAATGAGATTTCAATCTGTCCTTTGAAAAAAAAAAAAAAAAGACGCTTTGTTGATCAAAAAAATAGAATCCAATAAGTTGACCATAATTATCCAGGTAATTTGAAATATTAATCATTTTTATTTAGTAGTACATTTTTTGAATCCTACATGCCTAGTTTGTACTTGTACAATTTTTAAAAATGAATAGATTATAGTCTAAAATGTGTTGAAAAAGAATAATTAATAGTTCAAATTAGTTCGAAATTTTTAATTCATTTTGTAGTTAAAATAGAATCCGTTTATCTCTTTCTTCTTTACTCTTTTTAAATAATCGAATAATTGATCCATCTATTAAACGTATCTTATTGTAAGTTGCATTTATGTGTGTGTGTGTATATATATGTGAGAAAGAAGGAAAGATCGCGATTCTTCGATTATAATCGATAATTATAAGTGAAAACAGTTATCGATCGAATATCCTGTTTTACGAGATACAACTACAAAATCATTCGACATCGCGAACACGTTATCTTTGTATTTTCTGTATAACTAGCATAAGCGAAAATATAAGATTTTGCAATATGTAAACACACGGTTCGAGTCTTCCCGTTTAAATCTTATCCTTTATGTCAATCTATACTTTGCCGGAAAATCCCAGACATTCGTGGAAGGTGAAGAAGGATATATATTCTCAGTGCACGTGACTTTACTTGCTCGATACATCGCATTTATATAATTAGTATTGGTATATAATGAATGATTATTCTTTTTGAAGCTCGGTTAAAAGTCTTTTATAGTCCTTAGGAATTACGAATAAGGAAGTTGTGTAATGTTTAACGCTACGACTACAAGATGACTCAAAAAAGATTAATATAAGTATTTTCAAGATTTTTTTTCTTTCACAATTATCAAAATAATAATTATCAGAATATATAATGTTATCTAAAAGATATTTTTTTTCTTTATTCGTTATTATAGAGTCAAGAATATCATGTTATTTAACTTGATTATTTTATTATAAAATTTGTTATACATTTGCTTTATTTTTTTTTATATCGTTGTCAGTATTGTACGTTTGTAAGATATGAGAAAAGAGATGAAATTTAAAGGGTGAGTCGTTGTAAAGGTTGGGCCGTTGCCAACCAAGTTGCCGGTAAAGTATCGACCAAACACTATTCTCTAGCTTGATGCTTCGAATATACTTTGAATCTGAATATCTTTACATTTCAATATAGATATATATATATATCTTGAACACATAGATGTAGATGCTCATAAACACACGTTATATATTATTCTAGAATATTTTTTTTATGCAAAATAAGCGTTAAATTAAAAGAACGATCACATACAAAGTTTCTCTCGAACAATAATGCATATATGTGCATATAAAAAAATATATGATTTCAAAATATTATAAATTATAATCTCTTTGAGAGTAAATTTGCATGGTAACGATCGTCTATAACAATAACTTATTTCTTCCTCTTTCTTTCTTTCTTTCTTTTTCTTCATTTTCATTTGTAAAACATGGATGTAGATCTTTCTTAAACTTTCCCACACGCAGGGTAAAGTCAAGAAAGGTAATATTTTTCCACGGTGTATGTAAGTACGCGTGTCTTTGACGATGAGTTTCACCGAGTTTCTGTCTTTTTGCGTAATAATATGACGTAGTCATTAAGAACAAAGCCGAAAGGAAGTTGTTAATGATCTGACGAAAAAAAGAGAGAGAGAAGGAAGAAAAGTTTGAAAGATCGTTCATTAAATCAAACGATTAATTACTATATTTTATGAATGATAAATTTGATGAAGAAAATTATTCTTTTTTTTGTTCTTTTTCTTTTTTTTTTTTGTTTGTTTTAGATAAATATTTGAAATTTTCGATTGGAATCTTATAATTAGAATTACATTATCTTATAACAAGATAATAATTGTGTCCAATTAATGATATAACTATAGTTTCTCGTGATATACGAATAAACGATGCATCGATTTAGCTCGAGCTCCTGTGACTTTATTCGAATTTAAATTACTCGAATTAGTTTACCCAATTAATTCGATCTATCAAAACGGTTTTTTTTTAAATATCCAAGTTTAATAGTACGTTCGATCAATTTAGAAAATGAATGACCGTTAGGAGAGTTAGTTGAATTCAAGTTTTAAAAATAAAAACGTGTCGCGGAAATGATCGGTTAAATAGAGTTCGACGTAAACGTACCATAGTATTTATTTATTACCGTGAATAACTTGCATAAAAACATTTGGTACGAAATTTATAGAAAATAACTAGTTAACTTTCACTCGAGGATCGATATTCTTATAGTTTGCTCCCTTTTTATAGTAGATATTCGATATAAAGCGTGAAAATGATCGAAATTTCAATTCTCGGGAGTATCGGTGCATCCAATCGTAAAAGAAAACAATCATTAAGTATAATAAGCTTATGGCCAATCGAATACTGAATGATGAACTAACAAAAACTTGCATATATATATATATATATATATTACTTCCTTCATCTACTTTCACCTGTAAAGCAAATAGAATAAAAATGAATCGCCTAGATATTTATATCTATAGATAAAAGTAATCTAAAGATTCCTTCGAGAAAATGAATTTGCTTTCGTTCGATATTCGAGGGAACATCCTTCCTAAAACAATTGTAACTTAAGATATAACGATCGATTTTGTGATTAATTATATTCTGATATCATCTACTATTTTATTACAGATTTATTATATCGATCGTTATGCAGTAACAAGGAGATCGATAAAAAGTTTCCTTTGGCCTTGGCAAATGTACAGAATTTTATGAATTTTTATTAATATTTATTTAATAAATGGGAGCCAAAAAATATTTGGAAAAATCTAATATAATCTCTTTCCAAATATTCGAATATTCGAAAGGAAAATAAATGCGTATGTTTGAAAATGTGAAAAATTATCAAATAAACGTGATGCGGAACGTGCATTGAGGGTGTAGTATCATAGTATTTCAAACCGGAAGAGAAGGGCTACTTAAACGGAGGAAGTTAATCGTGTACGAAACAAAATCGTCGATCTAACTTGATCGCAACGCTCAAAAAACAGGGGCCAGAATGCAGCTGTCCTATACATTTTTGCTTCTTATTGGGACCTAAACGATTAGGGTGTGCAAGGTTTAGCTACTGCTTTTTTCACGGTAATTAACCCCCTCGTTTGAAGGGGACAAACGCTGTATGGATACAGTCTTGCCACCTTCATCGCGTACGTCAGGTGTTAAAACTGGTATTACGCAATATCAACGTGTAATCCGGATAACAATTTGACGTTTCAAGATGATCATGATTTGTCCAAATTGTTAAAAAATTGTATCATTTCGTTTGGATCGCGATGGTTCGTTACTTTCTTTATTTTTCTCTCTCTATAATTATTATAGATTATTAAAATTTACCAGTAATGTTAAGAAGTCTACGAGCCGAAACTTGATTCAAAACCACAGTGTCATCGTGATGATCACTGGTATGTCCTCGTCCCGTTTGAACAGGATCAGAGGATTGATGCTGTTGTAATGCCCATGAAAATTCCATACCGAGAATAATTAGTTCTTTTTTCGAAACAGATCACAAAATCACTTGGACGCTACATAGCGTCGTACTTGATGTTAGATCACTATTAACGTCCCAGATAAAATATTATTGTCAATGAGGTTGTTAGAGTCATTCTTTTTACACAAATGACTCTTATATTATTTTCTTTTTTCTTTTCCCTTTACACGCTTGATTTTGGTCTTCTTGTAACACTAACGTTGACAA